ATGCGCATTGCAATTGTAAAATGTCAACACAATTGGAGACACCACGTCATTTTTGGAGACATGTTATTGACAGTAAACTATTGTAGATGCGACTGCTAACTAACTAAAACATTTTAGCTGGCTAGCTAATCATCTTAGCTAAATGTGGGGCAAACAATTCAGTTATTTACCGTTAATTTGAGGGATTGGGGTGAAAGAAATCGAGTTACATAGTGATACTTTACGATATACTGTATTGACAATATCGCAATATTTTAGCGCTAGTTGGCTGTACCTGCACCAAAACACCATTATTGTTCCTTCATAGCTTGTTCTCAATCTTTTCACATTGGGAGCCAATTTGTTTTCAGCACTTTTATTTCCATGACTGATCAAAACTCGTTCTCATGGCTTTCTGATCCCTCTGCAACAGACATATGGTGCGCAATAAAATCACAGTATCGAATCGCAATACGTATAGAATCATGAGACTCGCAATGCTGATGCATATATCTTATCGTGAGGTTCCTGGCAATTCCCAGCCCAAGTTCATTTGCCACAACAAATCTCTTCGCTAGCAAACGCGATGTCTTCTCCAAAACGGCAATGTGTCTCCAGCAATGTTTACTTTTTTGACGTTCTATGGCATCTCCACTTTCCAAGCATATATGACCACATGTAATATTTTGGTAAGTGATGCAAATAGTGAACTATGTAGGGCCAGGATGTAAAATATATGTAGCTGCAGCAATTTCTCTTATCTGATATGGTAAGTAATGGGGCTTAATTTATAGCTCCCTAAGAGTTTGACGAACGGGTCCGTGAACGCGATTCCAGATATATTTACCTCTGAATAAACTGCCTTTATTACACCATATCCACATCCAGTAAACTTGTGATTATCAACACTAACCTCATCGTTGTGGCGGTGGACAGCTAGCCTGTATCCCTCGTCATCCAGTTGAGTGAGTGGCAATGTCTTTTTTCGTTCGTACCAATTTTTGGAAAATCCTCGGGTGTAGGACTTTCCGCCTTTAGTAGAAACCTGTTGAATTATTAAATTTGGTCTGGGAGGTCCTAATTGTTTCGTTGCCAATTTATCTTAATTTGTTCGCCGACAAAAAGGAACTTCTTTCAAACAATCCACTCTTTTCTCAGTTACGTTCATGGTTACGTAACGTATGACGAAAGCGCGTAAGTGCAAGCCCACAGACACCCATTGAGATTGTATTGAAGGCTCTGAAATTTGAAAAAAATAGATTTTACATGGGAGTCTATGACAGAAGTTCTGGGCGATTTTCAATCTGACTGAAATCGCCCCAAAAGGGGGTGGAGCCATTTGAAGCACGACTTTAGCCTGATTCGACATTTAGTGGCAGTGTGGCACTGTGGCAGATCAGACGTATAGATTACAACACTGATAACTACTGTTGCCGTGATATAATTGATTAGAAAAAAAATCCCTTCCTTTTCCCGTTTGGCAGTGCGTCGCCCATATCGCCCTATTGAACAGGCCGTCCCTGTCTGTGTGCGTCACTGAGTAGACTGATATCCACAATCCATATGTAATGCTTTACAGTGCAATATGAATGTTCAATACTTAAATAGGCTTACTAGAGAGGTGATTTCCCACAGACATAGTGCTGCAATAAGAGCTATGACTTTCTGTAATATTTGAGTAAACCCTTCAGAGTTGTCTTCTGTGGGTGTCCCTGGGAAGGCTGATACGCCATTTGATGGATCCACAATCCATAGATAATGCTTTAAGGTGCATATAAGTATGCCCCTTTGCAATTATGCAGTCCAATACATCCACAGTGAGAATTCAACATTTTCTTTACGGTTTATTGTAAAAACGTAAAAACATTCCAAACTTGTTTAGCATTATCTAGTTCAAATATGTCATGATTCCACTATTTATATATGTTTGCGTCAGTTTCAATGGGTGACGAAGCGCCGATTCTACTATTTTGTGGCTAATCGTAACTGTGGCACAGTTTACGTAGGTCTTTACTTTGAGACAAAAGACGTTCAATTCAAATCTCTAACCTAAAACTTTGCTACCACCTACTGGATGAAAATAATAACTGAAGTATTCGATTTGTTGCAGAGCGCTCTCAATCTAGTCTGTTTCCCAATGCTTGTCCCCAAGTAGTTCCTTAATTTAATATCTCAGTATGGAATACTATAATTTCATAAATACGGAATACTATAATTTCATTAAATGTTTTAATGGTCTCCTTCCTTCAGTACTATCTGTGACCATATTTTGGCCATCAGCCAAATCCTCAATGTGGTTAGACTGGCAGAACCAGGAACTTACCCAACTCTGTCAGACAAACATTTCCAGATAAATGAAACTTAACAGGCAGACAACACCCTAACTCTTGCCACTGTTCAGTCGGTTAGTCTGTGTATCAACATGGCAGAGGCAACTTTAGAAGATAAGGATTTGATTACCTGTTCAATCTGTCTGGATCTACTGAAGGATCCAGTGACTACTGCTTGTGGACACAGTTACTGTATGGGCTGTATTAAGGACTGCTGGGATCAGGATGATCTGAAAGGGGTCTACAGCTGTCCCTTGTGCATGGAAAGCTTCACCCCAAAACCTGTCCTGAGGAAAAACATCTTATTGGCTGAATTAGTGGAGAAACAGAAGAAGACAAGACTCAAACCTGCTCCTCCTGCTCGCTGTTATGCTGGACCTGGAGATGTGGAGTGTGACTTCTGCACTGGGAGAAAACTCAAAGCAGTCAAGTCCTGTCTGGTGTGTCTGGCCTCTTACTGTAAGACTCACCTCCAGCCTCACTATGAATCCCCTGCCTTTAAGAAGCACAACAATAAGCTTGTTGAAGCCTCCACACAACTACAGGAGAAGATCTTCCCTCATCATGACAATCTGCTGGATGTTTATTGCTGTACTCATCATCAGTGTATCTTTCTGCTGTTCGTGATGGATGAACATAAAGGCCATGATACAGCTGCAGCAGAAAGGAGAAAGAAACAGGTACCAAACCACTTCTATGCAAGCTCTTTCAAAACTTTAAATTTAAAAAAGGTCTAATGATTTCATCTGAAGTCCATGGTAATAAAGCACTGTGTAAAACTGTAGCTAGTCAACACTCGGTGCCATCAAAGACACACACACACACACACACACACACACACACACACACACACACACACACACACACACACACACACACACACACACACACACACACACACACACACACACACACACACACACACACACACACACACAGTGTTATTTTCAAGATAATGGTAGGAGCAGTTACAAAATCTTGTCATTATTTTCTGAAGAAGCAGAGGAGACCCAGCCATCGCTATGCAACCCAGGTCATGAGGCCACAACATTTTCAGTACATGCAACTGACCATGAAGCCCACTTTCCAGGCCGCATCGCCTTGCATGTTTTCCACTCAGCACATGGCCGGCCAGACCATGGGCCCCTGCAGAGCCGGCCTGACTGCAATGCGACACAAGCTGCTGCTAAGGGTCCCTCAACTAAGTTTTAGTTTATTTATCTGTATTTTTATTGTATTTATTTTTTTACTGTGAAGAGTTGGAATAGTAGAATACACAAGGCACAATTTTGAAATGTTGTAGTGTGCAGCAGTTTTCCTATTGTTATGTCAGTCACTGACAGACCTAAGCAAGCTATTTACTAGGCCTACCTGTCAGAAATGTCCAGTCGATCAATTCAGTGACAGAGGCAGGACAAGCAGGGCCTGTGTGCAAAATATTTATCATGGTGGGGGCCCAACTAAATCTCGCCAGGGGCCCCCAAGAAGCTGGCCAGTGGAACAGAAGCAAATGCTGGGTGTGCGCCTCTTCCCGCTCAACCAGAATATGCACCACAGCCTGACTGGCTGGAAAGTTTGACATGTTGCTGGAGATTGACAACTCTGAGCTGCTCCACATGCTAGAGTCTCCAGAGTCTCTCCGCACCAAGTTGGATGAAGCCATGGCAGTGCTGCAGGCTTACAAGAGATTATGACCAACTCATCTGGTGTTCCAAATGTCTAATAAGCCACCGAATTTGGAACCTTGAATCTCACTTGACTGAGGAAAAACTTAACCTTGAAAAATAACTAAAACATAAAACAATGCAAGAAAAACAAAACAATATTTTAAATAAAATAAAAGGAAATACCTTGATTGAGCTGTGTCATAGTGACTAGGCAAAAAAAGAAAATGTTCAAAATAAAAAATCTTAAAGTCTGGGTTTTAAGAATGATGACAGAAAATGAAATTACTGAAAGCATGCCTGGGATATCAAAGCCATGGCTTTGTGAAATGCACCTTTACTTCGCTTTCATGAATAAAACATTTTTGTATATATTATTTTTATAAAGTGCCGTTGATGTAGCATTAGGGGGCACTCCTCCCTGGTCTATAAAGCCAGGGTGAAGTTGCCTCTAGACAATGGTCTAACGTTAGTTTGGCATTTGTCAGCAAAAGACAGTAGGATGACGTGTACCATTGCACAGACCACAGACCCTCTATCCAGATCATCTGTGAGTATACTGAGACCTATTTAGTGATCAAGAAATTGTGAGCTTTTGGTGGTGGGCCTTTTCTATATCCAGGACAAGTTAAGGGTTGTGGTTGAAGTTTGGTTTAAGACTGAATGTTAAATAGTTTGGACTGTTGTTCTCTCCCCTCTCTCCCTCCCTCTCCCCACCCCCCTCACGTAAACTATGAAAATGTAATATTATTTAAACAAACTCTACCATTGTATTCATTGTATATGACATGTCATTGTGTAAAATAAATACATTAAGTATTCCATGAGTCATGTAAAGTGAATCAATCATCTGTGTTTATACTCAAGCTTTATTGGGAAAAAAGGCATTCCGATTTTGCTCAATGGGCCTACATTCACACTTTATATACCATTCTAACCTATAGGCATACATATGAACCCTGCTACATATGCTGTTGTACAGTGTTGATTTTTATAACAAATACTCACAACAGTTGTATACAGTATGTCAGACGGTCTAATAAATGCACACAGTATAGATTTATCTCTCTATAGCAAAACACAGCCTCTCTAACAAGCTGAGATCATCCAACTGAAATTGATAAAGAGAGAAACCACCTGATACACAAGGTCCCACACTCCCACATGTACTGGCAGATAAAGAATTCCTCCTCTCCCTCCCTCTTCTTCTTGTGGAGATCCCTCCATCCACATCCATCCATCTCATTTTGACGTCTTCTGGCATCCCCCTTTTCATCAATTGTTCCTTTATCTGAGACACCAAGATACTGTAGTATTGGTCTCATGAATATACAGCGTCTTCAGAAAGTATTCACACCCCTTGACTTTTTCCACATTGTGTTGTGTTACAGCCTGAATAAAACATTTGTTTTTACAAATATGAAAAATGTTCTTCCTCTTTGACATTACATAGTATTTTGTGTAGATCATTGACAAAAAAAATCTAATTAATTCCATTTCAATACCACTTTGTAACACAATAAAAATTGGAAAAGGTCAAGGGGTGTGAATACTTTCTGAAGGCACTGTAGATACATAGATAATATAGTAGACATACAGAGGCGTCAAGTAGTCTTCCCAGTGTTCCCCCAGCTCTTCTTGCCATAGTCTATGATGTGTGCGTTCTGAGGGACCTAGTCCCTTCATTAAAGGAGATGAGACTCACCTGTTGTAAGATGGCCGCCCCCAGGGCAGGATCAGTGAAGGTCAGGGGTGAGTCTGGGGTCTGCTCCACTCTCACTATCTGCATCCTCCCTACCACATCACTGACAGAAAAGGCAGGAGAGAGAGAGAGAGAGAGAGAGAGAGAGAGAGAGAGAGAGAGAGAGAGAGAGAGAGAGAGAGAGAGAGAGAGAGAGAGAGAGAGAGAGAGAGAGAGAGAGAGAGAGAGAGAGAGACAGACAGACAGGCAGGCAGGCAGGCAGGCAGGCAGGCAGACAGACAGACAGACAGACAGACAGACAGACAGACAGACAGACAGACAGACAGACAGACAGACAGACAGACAGACAGACAGACAGACAGACAGACAGACAGAGATAATGAATAACAGGCTTGTTCTAGCAATGGGAAATGTTGTATGAGGAATCTGGCTTTTGTTCTACCATTTGTGCTGCGAGATACACAGATATTATGTTTACTCTAATCATCAGTCAATATTACACACACAAAAAGCTATATGATAATAAATTATATAACTCATTAATATAACTCATTTTCTGTTCATTTCTCTCTCTCTCGCGCTCTGTCTCTCTCTCTGATGCTTGTGGTGACTCCTGTATTTGTCTTGAAGCAGACTTTAAATTATATTTCTAAATCTTCGCTACCACCTACTGGATGAAAATAAACTGAAGCTTAGATTTGTGATTGAGCTCTCAATCTATTTTCATGTTTCACTATGCTTATCCTCAAGTACTCCAAAGCATGTGTAGTTTGTTATTTGAATCTCTTTATGGAAAACTATTTTTTAAAATAAACTCTGTTTTAATTTGTCTCCTTCCATTCAGTACTAGATTCAGCCAACACCACACCCCCTGCTGGTGCTAAATTCACACAGAACCAGGAAGTAACTCCCACTGCAGCACAAGCATTTCCAGATAAGTTAAACCTAGCAGGCAGATGACACCCTAACCCTAGCCCACTGTTCTGTATTTTAGTGTTGGTGTGTGTATCTACATGGCAGAGGCAATTTTAGAAGATTAGGATCCTTTCTGCTGTCTGATCTGTCTGGATCTACTGAAGGATCCAATCACTATTCCCTGTGGACACAGTTACTCTATGGGCTGTATTAAGGACTGCTGGGATCAGGATTATCTGAAAGGTGTCTACAGCTGTCCCCTGTGCAATGAAAGCTTCACCCCAAGACCTGTTCTGAACAGAAACATTGTTTTTGTTGGACTTTTGGGAAACATAAGACAAGACTCCAAGCTGCTCTTACTGCTCACTGTTATGCTGGACCTGGAGATGTGGAGTGTGACATCTGCAATGGGAGAAAACTCAAAGCCATTCAATCTTGTCTGGTGTATCTGGCCTCTTACTGTAAGACTCACTTCAAACTTCACAATTAATTCAACCCAGGAAAAAGACACAAGTTGATTGATGTCACTGAACAACTACAGGAGAAGATTTGCTCACATCATGACAAACTGCTGGAGGTTTACTGCTGTACTGATCAGCAGTGTATCTGTCTGCTGTGTGTGCTGGATGAACATAAAGGCCATGATACAGTCTCAGCTGCAGCAGAAAGGACTGAGAGACAGTTAAGGACCAAACACTTCAATGCAAGCTCTTTCACACTTTCAAAACAAATATTTAAAATAGGCTTATAATGGTTTAATCCTTCAGAGTCTGAATCCATGCTAATCAAGTACTAAGTTAAACTTTAACTAGTCAATACTCAGTGCCAACACACACACTCTTTACAATAACTGTGGAGATTGTTCTGCAGAAGCAGTTGAGAGAGAATCAGCAGAAATCCCAGCAGAGAATCCAGGAGAGAGAGAAGGAGATGCAGGACCTGAAACAGGCTGTGGATTCTCTGAAGGTGAGTGTTGGACCACATATATTTCCATTACATACAGTGCCTTCAGAAAGTATTCACACTCCTTGACTTTTTCCACATTTTGTTGTGTTACAGCCTGAATTTAAAATGGATTAAATTGAGATTGTGTGTCACTGGTCTACACACAATACCCCATAATGTCAAAGTGGAATTATGTTTTTAGAAATATTTACAAATTAATATAAAATGAAAAGCTGAAATGGCTTGAGTCAATAAGTATTCAACCCTGTTGTTATGGCAAGCCTAAATAAGTTAAGGAGTAAAAATGTGCTTAAAACATCACATAAGTTGTATGGACTCACTATGTGCGCAATAACAGTGTTTAACATGATTTTTGAATGACTACATTATCTCTTTGCCACATTGTAAGGTCCCTCAGTCGAGCAGTGAATTTCAAACACAGATTCAACCACAAAGACCAGGGAGGTTTTCCAATGCCTCGCATCTATTGGTAGATGGGTAAAAAATAAGTTATTAATAACACTTTGGATGGTGTATCAATACACCCAGTCACTACAAAGATACAGGCACCATTCTTAACTCAGTTACAGGAGAGGAAGGAAACCACTCAGGGATTTCACCATGAGGCCAATGGTGACTCTAAAACAGTTACAGAGTTTAATGGCTGTGATAGGAGAAAACTGAGGATGGATCAACAACATTGTAGTTACTCCACAATACTAACCTAAATGACAGAGTGAAAAGAAGGAAGCCTGTACAGAATAAAAATATTCAAAAACATGCATCCTGTTTGCAATAAGGCACTAAAGTAAAACCGCAAAAAATGTGAAGAAATTAACTTTTTGTCCTGAATACAAAGCGTTATGTTTGAGGCAAATCCAATACCACTCTTCATATTTTCAAGCATGGTGGTGGCTGCATCATGTTATAGGTATGCTTGTCATCTACAGAGTTTTTTAGGATCAAAATAAACGGAATAGAGCTAAGCACCGGCAAATTCCTAGAGGAAAACCTGGTTCAGTCTGCTTTCAACAGACACTGGGAGACATTCACCTTTCAGCAGGACAATAACCTAAGTGTTCACACTTAGTCCCTTTCAGAATTTCTTTGGGAACTCAGTGCAGTTCGCTTAATTATTTTGTGCAGTGTGAACACTCCAAAGGAACTCAAACCCCTCAAAAGAGCCCCAGAAGCAAACCAAACTGAGCTGGCCTGAGTTCGGTTCGCTTGAATTACCTGGTTTGGTTCCCTTTTTTAAGGCAACGTGAACACAAAGCTCCCCAGATTTGCTTGTAATTATTCTACACAGTAGACTACTGCAAAACCGTTTTACTTGCCATAACCCTCACACAAAAGAGAGAAGATGATGATGTGCAGGTTTGCGGATATTGATTAGCGATTGTCAAGAATGCACAGAAATTCCAAAATACAGTGCATTCGGAAAGTATTCAGACCTCTTCACTTTTCCCACATTTTGTAACGTTCTAGCCTTATGGATCTAATTATTTTTTCCCCTCATGAATCTACACCCAATACCCCATAATGACAAAGTGAAAACAGGTTTTATGAAAAATGTAAAACAAAAATACCTTATTTAAATAACTATTCAGACCCTTTGCTATGAGACTCAAAGTTGAGCTCAGGTGTATCCTGTTTCCATTGATCATCCTTGAGATGTTTCTACAACTTGATTGAAGTCCACCTGTGCCAAATTCAATTTTATTGGACATTTATTTGGAAAAGCACACACCTGTCTATATAAGGTCCCACAGTTGACAGTGCATGTCAGAGCAAAAATCAAGCCATTAGGTTTGAAGGAATTGTCCGTAAAGCTCCGAGACAGGATTGTGTTGAGGCACAGATCTGGGGAAGGATAAAAAAAATGTCTGCAGCATTTAAGGTCCCCAAGAACACAGTGGCCTACGTCATTCATAAAATGGAAGAAGTTTGGAAACACCAAGACTCTTCCTAGAGCTGGCCGTCTGGCCAAACTGAGCAATTGGGGGAGAAGGGCCTTGGTTAGGGAGGTGACCAAGAATCTGATGGTCACTCTGACAGAGCTCCAGAGTTCCTCTATAGAGGTGGGAGAACCTTCCAGAAGGACAACCATCTCTGCAGCACTCCACCAATCAGGCCTTTATGGTAGAGTGGCCAGACGGAAGCCACTCCTCAGTAAAAGGCACATGACAGCCCGCTTGGAGTTTGCCAAAAGGCACCTAAAGGACTCTCAGACCACGAGAAACAAGATTCTCTGGTCTGATGGAAATCTTTGGCCTGAATGCCAAGCGTCACATCTGGAGGAAACCAGGCACCGCTCATCACCTGGCCAATACCATCCCTACGGTGAAGCATGGTGGTGGCAGCATCACGCTGTGGGGATGTTTTTCAGCGACAGGGACTGGGAGACTAGTCAGGATCGAGGGAAAGATGAACGGAGCAAAGTACAGAGAATCCTTGATGAAAACCTGCTCCAGAGTGCTCAGGACCTCAGACTGGGGTGAAGGTTCACCTTCCAACAGGACAATGACCCTAAGCACACAGCTAAGACAACGCAGGAGTGGCTTCAGAACAAGTCTCTGAATGTCCTTGAATGGCCCAGCCAGAGCCCTGACTTCAACCCGATCTAACATCTCTGGAGAGACCTGAAATTAGCTGTGCAGCGACGCTCCACATCCAACCTGACAGAGCTTGAGAGGATCTGCAGAGAAGAATGGGAGAATCTCCCCAAATACAGGTGTGCCAAGCTTGTAGCATCTTACACACAAAGATGCTAGGCTGTAATCGCTGCCAAAGGTGCTTCAACAAAGTACTGAGTAAAGGGTCTGAATAATTTTGTAAATATGATATTTCCGTAGTTTCTTTTTAATACATTTGCTAAAAATGTCTAAAAACCAGTTTTTGCTTTGTCATTATGGGGTATTGTGTGTAGATTGATGAGGGGAAGAAAACAATTGAATCAATTTTGGAATAAGGCTGTAACGTAACAAAATGTGGAAAAAGGGAAGAGGTCTGAAAACTTTCAGAATGGAGTTTTGTTCAGATTATTTGTTTGCAATATGTGATCTATAGGCTAAGAGAGCTTCATAAACTGTTCATTCGATTGTGGGGTTTGAATAGTGTGAGAAGACAACATATTTGGTAAGAATCACAACATAGAGTACAAAATCAATTTTAGCTCTTAAAGGGCAGTAGCCTACATTGGGTGTACCATTTTTAATTACAGCATTATTTAATCTGCAGTTATTCTTCTGCTATTTATTCTGTTACCAATCATATTTACATGTTAATAGTATCTTATTTTTTAAATTATTATGTCTCCCCTTTTTTAAACTAAATGCAATCTGTTAGCTTCCAAAATCTAAGTAGGTATATCTAGCTGTCTGATAACACGTTCTGATGGAATGGCTTGTCCTGCACTTTGCAAACACCCAGAGTGCATTGAGTGAATATTGGAAAAAGATCTGGGTTCCTTTCTAAACATAACAATGTGAATGCAAAGAAGACTCAGACCACTAAATAGGTGAAGTGAACTGGCAAAAGAGTTGAGTCCTCATTCAAAGCAAGGATAGTGTGAATACAAAGAGAACTGAGTTCTTTTGCTTTTTTTTACCCCAGAGTTCACTTTAAAGAGGACTGAGATCGGTTATTTTAAATAGGACTGTATGTGAAAACACAACACAAGGCCAAATATACACTGGAGTTGCTTACCAATATGACATTGAATGTTCCTGAGTGGCCTAGTTATAGTTTTGACTTAAATTGGCTTGAAAATATATGGCAAGACTTGAAAATGGCTGTCTGGCAATGATCAACAACCAACTTGACGGAGCTGTAACCATTGCCAAAGGTGATTCTAACATGTATTGACTCAGGGGTATGAATACTTATGTAAATGAGATATTTCATTTTCAATACATTTGTAAACATTTCTAAAAACATGTTTTCACTTTGACATTATGGGGTATTGTGTGTAGATGGGTGAGAAACAAAATCTATTTAATCAATTTTGAATTCAAGCTGTAACACAACAAAATGTGGAATAAGTTAAGGGGTATGAATACTTTCTGAAGGCACTGTAAATATTTAAATGTTTACATTTACAGGCTGTCTGGGGACCTGGTGAGAACTGGGTGAATGGGCTAGTTGAAATGGACTCCCTCCTGTCTCTGTGTCCTTACAACGCTCTGCACAGGTGGAATTAGAGGACAGTGAGAGGATCTTTACTGAGCTGATCCACTCCATTAAAAAATCAAATCAAATCAAATCAAATTTTATTGGTCACATGCGCCGAATACAACAGGTGCAGACATTACAGTGAAATGCTTACTTACAGCATTTATTTTTAACAAAAAAAGTAAAAATAAAACAACAACAGAAAAAGTGTTGAGAAAAAAAGAGCAGAAATAAAATAAAATAACAGTAGGGAGGCTATATATACAGGGGGGTACCGGTGCAGAGTCAATGTGCGGGGGCACCGGCTAGTTGAGGTAGTTGAAGTAATATGTACATGTGGGTAGAGTTAAAGTGACAATGCATAAATAATTAACAGAGTAGCAGCAGCGTAAAAAGGATGGGGTGGGGGGGCAGTGCAAATAGTCCGGGTAGCCATGATTAGCTGTTCAGGAGTCTTATGGCTTGGGGGTAGAAGCTGTTGAGAAGTCTTTTGGACCTAGACTTGGCACTCCGGTACCGCTTGCCGTGCGGTAGCAGAGAGAACAGTCTATGACTAGGGTGGCTGGAGTCTTTGACAATTTTGAAGGCCTTCCTCTGACACCGCCTGGTATAGAGGTCCTGGATGGCAGGAAGCTTGGCCCCAGTGATGTACTGGGCCGTACGCACTACCCTCTGTAGTGCCTTGTGGTCGGAGGCCAAGCAGTTGCCATACCAGGCGGTGATGCAACCAGTCAGGATGCTCTCGATGGTGCAGCTGTATAATTTTTTGAGGATCTGAGGACCCATGCCAAATCTTTTCAGTCTCCTGAGGGGGAATAGGCTTTGTCGTGCCCTCTTCACGACTGTCTTGGTGTGTTTGGACCATGATAGTTCGTTGGTGATGTGGACACCAAGGAACTTGAAGCTCTCAACCTGTTCCACTACAGCCCCGTCGATGAGAATGTGGGCGTGCTCAGTCCTCTTTTTTTTCCTGTAGTCCACAATCATCTCCTTTGTCTTGGTCACGTTGAGGGAGAAGTTGTTGTCCTGGCACCACACGGCCAGGTCTCTGACCTCCTCCCTATAGGCTCTCTCATCGTTGTCGGTGATCAGGCCTACCACTGTTGTGTCGTCGGCAAACTTAATGATGGTGTTGGAGTCGTGCCTGGCCATGCAGTCATGGGTGAACAGAGAGTACAGGAGGGGACTGAGCACGCACCCCTGAGGGGCCCCCGTGTTGAGGATCAGTGTGGCAGATGTGTTGTTACCTACCCTTACCACCTGGGGGCGGCCCGTCAGGAAGTCCAGGATCCAGTTGCAGAGGGAGGTGTTTAGTCCCAGGATCCTTAGCTTAGTGATGAGCTTAGAGGGCACTATGGTGTTGAATGCTGAGCTGTAGGGAGGGTAATGTGCTCTGAGGTGAAGGAGCTGATCAGAGCCCAGGACAAGGCTGAAGTGAGTCGGGCTGAAGGGGAAACTGGAGCAGGAGGTGACTGAGCTGTGGAGGAAAGATGCTGAGATAAAGCAGCTCTCTCACACAGAGGACCACATCCATTTCCTCCAGGTCAGGTGACAGTATGAAGACTGTCTTATGAAGCAGGCAACTTTCAAACATGATCATAAATGGAGCTGTGTTTAAATTCAGATGCAGTAAAGATCTTATGGATTTTAGAGACTATTGCATCTCCAAATATCTGTCTTGTATTTCCCTCTCTCCCTGTAGAGTTTCCCATCTTTCGGTGTCTCTCCTGAATCTGCTGCCTTACCCAGCATCATTATTAATCCACACATCTCCTTTGAAAAGGTTAAAAAGATTGTCTCAGAACTAACAGAGCAACTGGAGGACGCCTGCAAGAAGCAAAATGTCATCATATCCGAGAGGTAGGCAGAATTGATTTTACTTGTATCAAGTGATGGGTTAGTAAGATGCTTATTGAAATGTAAAATCTAACTGTCAGTAATCATAGGAAAGACTAATTGTAAAATTGTTAATTTGTTTTATGTTCCTTAGCCAGCTAAATCTCCTTTATTTCCACTTAATTACAGAGGATTGGTAATTCCAAATTATGATCACCTTTGTCTCCACAGTTAAATCAGTCAGAATTATTCCAACCCCTGATCCTAAGACCAGAGAGGAGTTTCTACAATGTGAGTAATGAGCAGACATGCACACACCTTTTGTACTGCCGTGAAAAAGTATTTACCCCCTTTCTGATTTTCTCTATTTGTGCATTTTTTTTTTTACAATGAATGTTATCAGATCTTCAACCAAAACCAAATATTAGATCAAGGGAACCTGAGTAAATAAATAACAAGAAAAATTGATCCTTATTTCATTTATTTAATAAACAAAGTAACGCAACACCCAATGCCCCCAGTGTTTACTTTTTTCCACACATGATGGGACCCATGTCGTCCAAAAAGTTCCACTTTTGACTCATCGGTCCATAAAACATTCTTCCAGGAGTCTTGACGATCATCCAGGTGCTTCCAGGTGCTTTTTGGAAAACTTGAGTGTACTTTTTGGATGACATAGGTCCCGTTATGTCGGGTGAAAACCAAACACTGCATTCCACAGTAAGAACCTCATACCAACGGTCAAGCATAGTGGTGGTAATGTGTTGGTTTGGGGATGCTTTGCTGCCTCAGGACCTGGACGACTTGCCATCATTGAAGGAACCATGAATTCTGCTCTGTATCAGAGAATTCTACAGGAGAATGTCAGGCTATCCGTTCATGAGCTGAAACTGAAGCGCAGCTGGGTCATGCAGCAAGACAATGATCCAAAACACACCAGCAAGTCTACATCAGAATGGCTGAAAAGCAACAAATGTAAAGTTTTGTAATAGCCTAGTCAAAGTCCAGACCAAAACCCGATTGAGATGTTGTGGCAGGACCTGAAACGAGCAGTTCATGCTCGAAAACCCACAAATGTTGCTGAGTTAAAGCAGTTCTGCAAGGAAGATTGGGCCAAAATTCCTCCACGGTGATGTGAGAGATTGATCAACAAGTACAGGAAGTGTTTGGTTACAGTCATTGCAGCTAAAGGTGGCACAACCAGTTATTGAATGTAAGGGGGCAATTACTTTTTCACAAAGGGGCATTGGGTGTTTGTTTATTAACTAAATGAATTAAGTATTTTAAAAAATTGTGTTACACACACACACACAACAGCACGTGTTATGAAAAGTACATTTCACTCACTTGTCTGTCTGTCTGAGAGGAAAGTGACATACAGCGGCAAGGAACAGCCCTATCCTGATCATCCAGAAAGATTCCTCAATTATCAGGTGCTGTGTAGCGAGGGTCTGTCTGGAACCTGCTACTGGGAGGTAGAGACGGAGGGGGACACTCATAGAGGAGTGTCATATAAAGGGATGAGTAGGCATGATTTCTTTGGAGATACTAATGACAGCTGGAGTTTATGTGCTTCACCTTCCCATTGCTCTTACTGGCATGGTTGTACTGAGACTGAAATATCTGTGGCCTGTTCCTCCATAGTAGGCATGTACCTGGACCACAGGGCAGGAACTCTGTCCTTTTACAGTGTCTCTGACACAATCCCTCCTCCACAGTGTCCAGACCACGTTCACTGAACCTGTCTATCCTGGGTTTGGAGTTTATGGGCCAGGGTCATCTGTGAAGATACTGACACCTTAAGTGATTAATTTAGGAGTACAGTCATCTTAATGATCAATTGACTCTTTAGACACCTGCGTCCCAGTACATAGGCATAATTACAATCTCACTAAAAATCTATAAGATCACATGGTGGATAGGATATCAGAGTGCTCCAGGGTTGGGCTCAATTTGAATTGAAGGCAGTCAATTCAGCAAGTGATTTGAATTAAAAATTGACATTTTAAAACTTTTTTAATAAATATATTTACTTTTCAGTTTATTGAGAAGTCATAGAAAATAAATGCCCTTTAAAAAAAAACTTGTTTTATTGAATCCTAATTTTAGTTGACTTCCTGAATTGATTGCCTTCAACCGAATGAGCCCAACCCTGGAGAGCATATACCACAATGGAACAGGATATGACTTTATCCCTCTTGATCTGTATCCTAAAGTATTCACTCACTGTTACATTTAGTATACAGGTATATTTAAATACATATATACACTTTTGTTTAGAGTATGTGCCTTTATTCAAGTCTTAAGAAAAACAGATAACAAAATCACAAAATATAGTATTTTTCAGTGTCCCAAATACACTTCTGAATTTGATCAGAATAAAAGTTATTGCTGATCTGTCTTATCAGGGAATCTGAAGCCAAAGTGAATCTTTTTTTTTTCACAATCTGAAATCAAGATAGTTTATGTTTGTATTCTAAACTCTGTTGTAATGTTTTGCTTTTTTTGTGTATTTTCAATTTTTATATTTTGTCTGTTCTGAACCTTTTCATATTTTCACCCTCCTTTAAGCAGGAGCATTAGTATCAGGGTTGGTTATTCACTGTAATGTTGAACTTACTGGGAGGGAACCTTGTGATTTGTTTTTTCTGTGTAAGTAAATAAATAAAGGATAAATAGAAACAAATAAGATTTTATTTTATTTTAGTCAAAACCGAATTCCTAATGCTAAATTCCCTCTTCTTCTTGTGGAATATCTCTCCATCCACGTTCCCTTTTTCATCAGTTGTTCCTTTATCTGAGACAAACAAATAGCATTGACTTCATGAATACACTGAGTGTAGAAAACATTAGGGACACCTTCCTAATATTGAGTTGCAACCCCTTTTGACCTCAGAACAGCCTCAATTCGTCGGGGCATGGACTCTACAAGGTGTCGAAAGCATTCCATAGGGATGCTGGCCCATGTTGACTCCAATGCTTCCCACAGTTGTGTCAAGTTGGCTGGATGTTCTTTGGGTGGAAGACCATTCTTGATATACACGGGAAACTGTTGTGTCCCAAGGCTTCTTTAACCAGTCTTCTCCTCTTCATCTATACTCCTTGAAGTGGATTTACATGTAATTTTTTTTGTTTGTTTGTTTTTTCACAGATTTAACTGGTGACATCAATAAGGGATCATAGCATTGACATGGTCAGTCTATGTCATGGAAAGAGCAGGTGTTCCTAATGTTTTTACACTCAGTGTAGATAACATAGTAGACATACAGAGCCGTCCAGTAGTCTTCCAAGTGTTCACTCCAGCTCTTCTTGCCATAGTCTACGATGTGTGCGTTCTGAGGGACCTGGTCCCTTCATGGAAGGAGAGGGGTGATCAGTGAAGGTCAGGGGTGAGTCTGGGGTCTGCTCCACTCTCACTATCTGCATCCTCCCTACCACATCACTGACAGAAAAGATCGGCGAGAGAGAGGAGGATCAATAACAGGCAAATGTTGTATGAGACTTTTGTTCTACCATTTATGCCGCCAGATACACATACTATATGCTATGTTTACTCTAATCATCAGTCAATTTTTTAATTTTTTAATTTAACCTTTATTTGACTAGGCAAGTCAGTTAAGAACAAATTCTTATTTACAATGACGGCCTACACCGGCCAAACCCGGACGACGCTGGGCCAATTGTGCGCCGCCCTATGGGACTGTGTGGGACGGTTGTGATACAGCCTGGAATCGAACCAGGGGGTCTGTAGTGACGCCTCAAGCACTGAGATGCAGTGCCTTAGACCACTGTGCCACTCGGGAGCCCCAATAACACACACTAACAAAATATATGGGCAAAACAAATAAAATAACATTTTATTTGTCACATACACGTGTTTAGCAGGTGTTATAGCGGGTGTAGCGAAATGCTTGTGCTTCTAGCTCCGACAGTGCAGTAATATCTAACAATTACACAACATATACCCAATACACACAAAAAAGTAATTTAAGAATATATACATATATGGACAAGCAATGACAGAGCGGCATGGACTAAGATACAGTATAATATTATAGAATAGAATACAGTATATACATATGAGATGAGTAGTGCAAGATATGTAAACATTATTAAAGTGACTAGTGTTCCATTTCTTAATGTGGCCAGTGATTTCAATAGGCAGCAGCAGCCTCTAATGTGCTAGTGATGGCTATTTAACAGTCTGATGGCATTGAGATAGAAGCTGTTTTTCATTCTCTTGGTCCCAGCTTTGATGCACCTGTACTGACCTCGCCTTCTGGATGATAGCAGGGTGAACAGGCAGTGGTGGTTGTCCTTGATTATCTTTTTGGCCTTCCTGTGACATCGGGTGCAGTATGTGTCTTGGAGGGCGGGTAGTTTGCCCCCGGTAATGCGTTCGGCAGACCGCACCACCCTCTGGAGAGCCCTGCGGTTGTGGGCGGTGCAGTTGCCGTACCAGGCGGTGATACAGCCCGACAGGATGCTCTCAATTGTGCATCTGTAAAAGTTTGTCAGGGTTTTAGGTGATAAGCCACATTTCTTCAGCCTCCTGAGGTTGAAGAGGCTCTGTTGCGCCTTCTTCACCACACTGTCTGCGTGGGTGGACCATTTCAGTTTGTTGGTGATGTGTACGCCAAGGAACATGAAGCTTTCCACCTTCTCCACTGCGGTCCCGTCGATGTGGATAGGGGGGTGCACCCTCTGCTGTTTCCTGAAGTCCACGATCATCTCCTTTGTTTTGTTGATGTTGAGTGAGAGGTTATTTTCCTGGCACCACACTCCCAGTGTATGTGTGTGTGTGAGAGAGAGATAGTGTATATAACATACTATAATGATCAAATTATGGTTTAAACCTGTGTTTATGGGACTCTAAAAGCCATGATTTGAAGAGAGGGAATGAGAGACCAATTCTCTAATGGTCCCCACTGTATCGGAAGATAGTCACTCATCATTGTGGCAGATAAATGGAAGTTGAAAATCACACTGAATGTCCCCCCATGTCTCTGAGTTCTCATTCCCTCCAGCATGATCAGGTTCAAGGATCTCTTCTGTCTTCCAGTACCTGAATGAGGAGTACTCTGGTCTGACCACCTCCAGGAGTATCTGAACAGGCCGATCAACATCTCTCCTGTCACCATCTTCTGAATGTCCTGGTTCTCAGACTGGTTCCTCACACTCACCAGATCATTGTGATGATTTCTGCAGTTGCTCTGGGCTGCTCTCCACATCTGGGTCTTCTTGACTAGAATGAATTTCTCAGAGAGCAGACGTTTACCCGTCAAACACGCAGATCGGAGAATGTTTTGAAAGATGGAATGTGTGGTCATTGTTTTCTTGATCAGTGTGCATGTATTGTTTTTCTGGGTGCTCTTTCTGCAGACTGTGTGTGTGTGTGTGTGTGTGTGTGTCTGACTTGCTGGCAGTTTTTGTGAAATCCCCATTCACATTTAGACTCACTATCATAGCAAAGAGCACTGTCATTCCACTTCCCTTCTTGGTCCATCCCCACTCAGTTCTCTCTACCATACCCATTTGGTTCCCCACTCTTCCAGTTCCGAAACGTAGCCTCTCCCTCACTATAGAAGCCGGGGTCTGCAAGGGCCCATTGCCAATTCAAATCATGGCTTTTAGAGTCCCATAAACACAGGTTTAAACCATAATTGGATCATTATAGTATGTTATATACACTCTCTCTCACACACACACACATACACTGACCTGAGAGCAGCAGGGGAAGAGCCCCACTACCTCAAATGATCAACCTGTAATAGTCTTCAAAAAAGTTGCCCATCCCTGGCATAGATTCCACAAGTGTCTGGAACTCTATTGGAAGGATGCAACACCATTCTTCCATGAGAAATTCCATAATTTGGTGTTTTGTTGATTGTGGTGGAAAACACTGTCTCAGGCGCCGCTCCAGAATCTCCCATAAGTGTTCAATTGGGTTGAGATCTGGTGACTGAGATGGTCATGGGATATGGTTTACATTGTTTTCATGCTCATCAAACCATCTATTCCACGTTGGGTTAACGTAATTTCAATGAAATTACGTTGCAACAACGTTAGTTCAATCAGTGTGCCCAGTGGGTAGCCACGGTAGACAAAATAATGGCCTGCCCAGCATTTTTATATATGACCCTAAGCATGATGGGATGTTAATTGCTTAATTAACTCAGGAACCACACCTGTGTGGTAGCACCTGCTTTCAATATACTTTGTATCCCTCATATACTCAAGTGTTTCCATTATTTGGCAGTTACCTGTAGATCACAGGCGGGCGGTGACACCTTCATTGGGGAGGATGGGCTCATAGTAATGGCTGGAACGGTATACATGAACACATCAAACACATATTTTCCATTTGTTTGATACCATTCCATTCCAGCCATTATTATGAGCCGTCCTACCCTCAGCAGCCTCCTGTGCTGTAGATAGTGTATGTTTTATGCACGCAATGGAAATCTACACAACCATAACCCAAAACATTCATTATAAAACATGGATTGATTATTGGCTTCAATTTATGCAGTAATCTTGATGCTACAGTTGGACCTTTTATATAGGATCTCATAACATCTTTTACATTTTAGTCATTTAGCAGACGCACTTATCCAGAGCGACTTACAGTTAGTGAGTGCATACATTTTCATACTGACCCCCCGTGGGAAACGAACCCACAACCCTGGCGTTGCAAGCGCCATGCTCTACCAACTGAGCTATAAATCAATTTGAGGACCACTCATTTTGTCACTTTCCCCCACAAGAAAATGTTCCTTGTGGATTGATTTCATTTCAATACATTCTTACTCTTCTTCTGGACCATATGCAAAACCTTCACCCCTAATCCTTAGATGGAGTGTTTACCAGAGTTTGACCACTGGTGTGAACTGCCCATTATGATTAAGGGAGTATTTGGTTTCCAGTGGCCCTTGAAGAGCATTCGTGCTATCAGGAGATTGAATTTGGTTACACAGGCCCTACTTCCTACTGACAGAGACTGAAGGTGACTTGAAGGAGGTTTGAAGTAAATGTCCTGGCTGTTGTAGGCCTGTATACACTTTATTCAAATAGAGGTTGTGAAAATCGATCAAGGAATGAGAACGAATATCCCACATCCCAAAAGTGAACATTGGGATACTGTACAATATTGCAATAATAACTAGCCTTTGTCTTTATTGATGAGGCAACCTGGTTGTACCCTGGTCCAGGCCACATTTATCAACATGGTTAATTCCTGCCCATTCATGAGTATGGGCACTCACTTTAAAACTCATGAAACTATGTATTTATAGAACAAACTATTTATTTTAAAGAATGTGGTTCTAGTAGGAAAAACATACAGTTGAAGTCGGAAGTTTACATACACCTTAGCCAAATACATCTAAACTCAATTTTTCACAATTCCTGACATTTAATCCTAGTAAATATTCCCTGTCTTAGGTCAGTTAGGATCACCACTTTATTTTAAGAATGTGAAATGTCAGAATAATAGTAAAGAGAATGATTTATTTCAGCTTTTCTTTCTTTCATCACATTCCCAGTGGGTCAGAAGTTTACATACACTCAATTAGTATTTGGTAGCATTGCCTTTAAATTGTTTAACTTGGGTCAAATATTTCGGGTAGCCTTCCACAAGCTTCCCACAATAAGTTGGGTGAATGTTCCTCCTGACAGAGCTGGTGTAACTGAGTCAGGTTTATAGGCCTCCTTGCTCGCACACACTTTTTCAGTTCTGCCCACAAATGTTCTATAGGCTTGAGGTCAGGGCTTTGTAATGGCCACTCCAATACCTTGACTTTGTTGTCCTTAAGCCATTTTGCTACAACTTTGGAAGTATGCTTGGGGTCATTGTCCATTTGGAAGACCCATTTGCGACCAAGCTTTAACTTCCTGACTGATGTCTTGAGATGTTGCTTCAATATATCCACATAATTTTCCTTCCTCATGATGCCATCTATTTTGTGAAGTGCACCAGTCCCTCCTGCAGCAAAGCACCAGCACAGCATGATGCTGCCACCCCCGTGCTTCACGGTTGGGATGGTGTTCTTCGGCTTGCAAGTTATCCCCCTTTTTCCTCCAAACATAACGATGGTCATTATGGCCAAACAGTTCTATTTTTGTTTCATCAGACCAGAGGACATTTCTCCAAAAAGTATGATCTTTGTCCCCATGTGCAGTTGCAAACCGTAGTCTGGCTTTTTTATGGCGGTTTTGGAGCAGTGGCTTCTTCCTTGCTGAGCGGCCTTTCAGGTTATGTAGATATAGGACTCGTTTTACTGTGGATATAGATACTTTGTACCTGTTTCCTCCAGCATCTTCACAGGGTCCTTTGCTGTTGTTCTGGGATTGATTTGCACTTTTCGCACCAAAGTACGTTCATCTCTAGGAGACAGAACGGGTCTCCTTCCTAAGCGGTATGACGGCTGTGTGGTCCCATGGTGTTTATACTTGCGTACTATTGTTTGTACAGGTGAACGTGGTACCTTCAGGCGTTTGGAAATTGCTCCCAAGGATGAACCAGACTTGTGGAGGTCTACAACTTTTTTTCTGAGGTCTTGGCTGATTTCTTTTGATTTTCCCATGATGTCAAGCAAAGAGGCACTGAGTTTGAAGGTAGGCCTTGAAATACATCCACAGGTACACCTCCAATTGACTCAAATGATGTCAATTAGCCTATCAGAAGCTTCTAAAGCCATGACATAATTTTCTGGAATTTTCCAAGCTGTTTAAAGGCACAGTCAATTTAGTTTATGTAAACTTCTGACCCACTGGAATTGTGATACAGTGAATTATAAGTGAAATAATCTGTCTGTAAACAATTGTTGGAAAAATTACTTGTGTCATGCACAAAGTAGATGTCCTAACCGACTTGCCAAAACTATAGTTTGTTAAGAAGAAATTTGTGGAGTGGTTGAAAAGCAAGTTTTAATGACTCCAACCTAAGTGTTTGTAAACTTCCGAATTCAAAAAGTGCTTTCAGCGTCAGCTACCTTCTAACTAAATGGGTGAAACCAACAATTTAAAAAAGGGGTGGTTCACAAAGAATCCTTTAGAATATCTGAGAAAAGTGATTATGTATAATGTGTCTAACTTTGTAATGTTTATGTTGTTAATTTGGACCTATTACATTTATTACGTTTTCTCGTACTAATGTCAATAGTTTATGTGTATTGTTTTTGTACCCCCCAAAGCAAGGAAGTGCTGCTGACTGTTTCTGCGAAGCTAGCTAGTTTGAAATGGTTGGTCAGACAAAGGCAGCACAGGAAGAATCCTATAACAGAGACGAAATGCTAATAGAAACGTTGCCACAGAAGAAACAGATACTGCGGTTTTCATAAATACATTTCCACTTTTGGTTTTGAAAATGAACGACCGACTGGATCCGTTTGAAGAACAACAGTGGTCATCTGACTTGAAAATGGGTAGAGTCGCCTGACCGTAACTGTTTTCTGCGTTTTAGTACGCTAACTAGCTATCTAAGTTTTTGTAGGACGTAGCTAGCTAGCTATCTCCTTTGATTAAAATAATATAATTATAGCTATTATAACACAACCTGAACACTTCTTGCTGGATATGTATTATGAAGAGATGGCCTGGGATGGCTGGACTTTGAACAGGTTATTTTCCTGAGTAACATTACCTAACTTAGCTAGCTAACAGTTAGCTAGCCTACTCGAATAAGCGGATACCCGGTTAGTTTTATCTAACCTATCCCTTTCCAAACATGTTTGAAATGGAGACACACATATCTGGCCTCTTCCCGGAAATTTTAGCTATGATTTTCAGTTACTTGGAGGTAAGGGACAAAGGTAGGGTGGCCCAAGTGTGTGCGGCCTGGAGGGACGCTTCATATCACAAGTCTGTGTGGAGGGGGGTGGAAGCGAAGCTGCATCTGCGGAGGGCCAACCCGTCCCTGTTCCCCAGCCTCCATACCCGGGGCATTAGGAAGGTTCAGATCCTAAGCCTGCGGCGCAGCTTAAGCTATGTAATCCAGGGGCTGCCAAACATCGAAAGCCTTAACCTATGCGGCTGTTTTAACCTCACGGACAACGGACTCGGACATGCTTTTGTTCAGGACATCCCGTCCTTGCGAGTCCTCAACCTCAGCCTTTGCAAACCAATCACAGACTCAAGCCTGGGCAGGATTGCCCAGTATCTGAAAAACCTGGAGGTGCTGGAACTCGGAGGTCTCAGTAACATTACCAACACAGGCCTTCTTCTCATCGCCTGGGGCTTGCACAAACTCAAGAGCCTTAACTTGCGGAGCTGCAGGCATGTGTCAGACGTGGGCATCGGTCACCTGGCTGGGATGACACGAAGCGCCGCCGAAGGCTGCCTCTCCCTGGAGCAGATGACCTTACAGGACTGCCAGAAACTGACAGACCTGTCCCTCAAACACGTCTCCAAGGGACTGGCCAAGCTCAAGGTGCTCAACCTCAGCTTCTGCGGCGGCATATCGGACGCAGGTATGATCCACCTGTCGAACATGACTCACCTGTTAAGCCTCAACCTGCGGTCGTGTGACAACATCAGCGACATGGGCATCATGCACCTGGCCATGGGGTCTCTGCAGCTCTCCGGCCTGGATGTTTCCTTCTGTGACAAGATAGGTGACCAGAGCCTGGCCTACATCGCCCAGGGGCTGTACCAGCTCAAGTCTCTGTCCCTGTGCTCCTGCCACATCAGTGACGACGGGATCAACCGGATGGTGCGCCAGATGCACGAGCTCAAGACGCTGAACATCGGGCAGTGCGTACGCATCACTGACAAGGGGCTGGAGCTGATCGCTGACCACCTGACGCAGCTCACTGGTATCGACCTGTATGGGTGTACCAAAATCACCAAGCGGGGCCTGGAGAGGATAACGCAGCTCCCGTGCCTTAAAGTTTTAAACCTGGGACTCTGGCAGATGACGGAGAGTGAGAAAGTGAGGTGAAAGCCAAACTGGGATGAACTGCCAAGAAGGGGGGTTTTCACTGTGGAAGGTGTAATATTTTTCATCCACAGAGATTACCTGAGCGGAACAGCTCGTAGACTATTACATTATCTTTAATAACTACAGTACTGTGACTTAATTTTAGCCGAAGGAAACACTTTTTAAACATTCACTGTCACAGCAATATTCCACCCCTTATTTTGGTACAATTGCTTTCTCTCTTATTCAGTGTATCCTATCCTTGTATCACATCTATAAGGTTTTGACTAGCTACCTCATCCATTGAAGAAACTGGAGTGTCTGGGACACATAACCCGACTACACAGCATCTTTCCTTGCAAAACAAAACTCATTTTTAAACGTTCCCTTTAACTGTTTACCAGTATTGATGATATACATGACTCATGCAAAACATCTCTGTTCTAACACAGTCCTTAACACTGCACATAAAGGCGTTAACGCCTTGGATTGAAGGTTTGAGCAACGATTTCTTCAGCCAAAGTATTTTGCCTATGTTAATAAAGGTATTTTTTTATGAATGGCTGTAGTCCTGAACATTGTACTTCAAATTGAAGTGAATTGTTTTGTTTTTGAATTGGTTGTTCCCATTACTGAGGAGTTACACTGTATCAAACATTGTAATCTGCTTTACTCCATCTTTCTTGTCAACATGAAGTGTGGAAATGACAGGGGTAAACTATCTGCCTTTTCCTCCTGGGGACTTTAGAATGGAGAGTGGAAATAGACTTTGGGCTCTATTCAATCCGTATTGCGGAAGTTCAGCGTTACAGCGTGATTTAAATTTAAAGGCACTGTTCCCGTGTTAGCGGAGACTGCATTCACGGTAAATGCTGCAAATGTCGTCTCAATCGGAAATTACCATTAAATCTTTATCGCGCAATCTAATGTTTCAGCGATAGATTGAATAGAGCCCTTTATCTTGTCCTTGGTTATCAAGAATATGTATTTCAAGTCTGTATGCAACATATCAATAACCTACATATTTTCTCCTGTAAAGCCTCCAAGGAAAGATATTATTGGAGTGTTAAAGCTAATTTAAAAAAATTATATTCATACGATAGTGATATTTATTAATAAAAATGCACAATGTTTTTTTGGGGGAAATTGTTTGTTCATTTGAGTTGTCGCCCAGTAAGGGGTTTATATGAGGGCTTTACCCATTGTAAAAACGTATATGATGTAGGGCAGAAGGTGCAGGGTGTTTAGAACATTATTGCTCTATTATATGCCTGGTCCAGAAACAACAATTAGGACCAGATTTACTAAAGGTTTGAGGTTGCACAACCAGTTTGACAAAATCTGGCCCTTCGTTTCTATCCCCTTTGTGTGCTGATCTGAACCCGATATGTAAGTAAAATGGTGGATTACCACCTACCATGGCCTTAGAGGAGTTTCTGTCACTGCTTACACCTATCCAGAAGTTGAGGTGAGGGGTTGTCCATCACATTTGACCTCATCTCCATACTGGATTCACAGCAGGACAGGGTCTGAGAGAATGAAAACCATTCTTAGCAATTGAGGCAGATATTAAAATATTGAGACAAATGTTACACTTAATTCTGCTGATAAATATGCACATGGTGCTCCTGTAAACAAATTTCCACAGAGTCAAAGACTGATAGGATATGTTTATTTACATACATATACAAAATGCAAATACTCAAACGTCTTGTTTTCTTTTTACATAGTTTTACTTTTTTCATCATTAAACACAGACAGAAGGCAGTACATTTCCTTTACAAATGCAAAAGTAAAAGTAAAAAATAAAATGAGAACCATGACCATGGTAATAGTAGCTCCTTTAACAGCAAGATTCTGTTCCTAAATGAAGAGTTTAAAACATGAAGTTATCACAGAATGGTGAGTCCACAGACATTAAGGCAAAGGCAGGGATACACAAGCTAGGGCCCTGTTAACCTTTACAATAAGACAACCTGTTCCTCCTTCCTAGAATAAAACAATGTTCTAATGACCTGGATAGGTGAAAGCTGACCAGTGGAACCGTTTGGTTTGACCTCATGATTTTGTCAGGTCAGTCATTACTTCTGGGATAGCCAGGATGTGATTCTAAATGAGTCTCATCATAGGGCCTATGGATAAGAGAACCTGAACAGTAACCTAGTCTCCATCTCTGGTCCTAGAGAGCAAGCTGATCTGTAGGTTTTTATTATTGTTTAACCATTGACTGATTGGCATAGGAATGCACTGTACAGAGCAGTTCTAAATGCCAGACTGGCAGAGTGATGTCTGTTCTATACAGTACAACTCTCCCTAATCAGGCCACAGGACAAACATGGTTGGAGACCGCTCTGTCCTAAAGGGTCATACTACTATTTGAGAGAAGTGGAGAACATAGAGGAACACAGTCTAGGGAGTGTCATTTCCACAAACACCCATTCACATCTCAGACAGATTAAAAAACTAAACACTGGAACCTAAGGGTAAAACGTTTAAATAATGTGGCAAAAGTGTATATATATATATAAAACATGAAAGAAAATTATTGAAATAAATGCAAGAAAAATACTCTCCCTCTACACAGTCACGGTTTGAAAACATTTGTAGTACATTTTACACTTATATAAAAAGTTTTGACACATTTCTCCAGTTTTAGCCGAGGACATGATCCACCTTTTTGTTCAGAGGGACTTGCTCCTCACGATTCTGTGCAAACATTCAATGCATATATCAATATGGTCAACATCATACTTTGTATATGTATATATATTTATAAAACATGACTTTTCGCGACTTATGGCAGTACTGTCAAATACATCTTGTCTGCAGACAAATTCAGACGCACGGGACAACTGCACTGCTTTTAGCTTCTCACTTGTGTATATATTTTTTTAACAGAATTCACAACATCTTCTACTGGGTTACCTTTATGTAGTCACTGTACGTATTTGATGAGTTATTTACAAACTGATTTTAAAAAGTTCAAACCCACTGAGAAGTGACTGTCATGTCTTTTTAACTAGGATTCCCTATAATTTCATCTCATTACAAGAAGAACCGTAGCTAGCTCTGAAGCTGCACTGAACGGGCAACATTTGCATCTAAGGGAACGTAATTCAATACAAAAATTAAACAGCTAGTTTTTTAATAAGTCATATCTATAGAAACTTTGGATGAGATCGTATGACCAGTGGGTTAGATATTTATTTATGTCTTATGCCATGCTGTAGCACCAATAGAGCAGGAATAAAAAAGGTCCCTTGTTTAGGTCCAGTACTGATCCCTGTGCACGCTCAAAGGCCACTATGGTAGCATCCCAAATGACACCCTATTCTGTATAGTGCACTACTTTTGACAAAATAAGTGTACCATGTGGGGAATAGGGTATCATTTGGGATGCTGGCTATGACTCTGAAAATAAACTAACATTGCATACCTCATATAGAAGGTAGTGCTGTGTGCAAAACCATCTAAAATCAACTGCAACCAAACTGTCCTCTCTGCTTCTCTCGCTCTCTCTCTCTGGGCCGAATCCTAACTTGAGAAGCTAGTGTACCTTGAAGTTTCACATAAATTAGACATTGATGTGAATGGGAGATGTGAGTGGAAGTTCAAGTTAGTATTCTTCCCTCTGTCTTAAGACCCGTTCACAGAACACGCAGTAAGTCAGCCATAGCTAAAGCCCTACATTTAGTCAGCAAAACTCAGCAAGGGGTTCTCTCACTATATCTAGGTGGGGAGTTGAGGGAATAGGTTTGTTGTCCAGTAACTCACATAGGAGATTCTGAAGGCCAATCCGAAAGGAAATAAATTGGCATATTGTATATGCCTTTTTTTCTGTTTAAATCACTGGTTCCTAAATATTTTCATGCCATGACCATCCACCATTCAGAAAAAACACTGGTTTAGATACAAAGAGAAAACAATAGTTGTGTCAGTACGGACAAATCCAGAAAAAACATTTTCAAAGTAATACCTGTGTTTTCTCTTTCAAAATGTTTTGGTATGACGTGCCCTACCGAACACAACCCATGACTGGCAGGCCGCTACATCCCTCCACCATTAGGCCACTGTGTGGCTGTTCTTCATCAGAACATCATCGTGTCCTCAGGCTGGTGAATCTCCCCAGGAATGAGAATTAGGCATGTGGGGGTGCAGTACGATTGCCCAGTCTTCCCTCTGCCAAGATCATGTGTGGATAGATGGGAGGAAGGTTGTCTGAAGCTCATGCAGGGTCATGGGGTAATCTGGGGGTGGTCTGTAAAGGTGAGTGGTCAGCAGGACTCCTCCAGCGCATTGACCACCTGCTCCAGGATGTCAGGGCAGTAGTCAGCGATCTGCTGCAGCACTGAGTTGGCATACTCCTGCAGCTCCCCGCTCTCCTTTTCACACAACTCCAACTCCAGTTCCAACTAAGGGAGAGAGAGATAATGAGTTAGCATACTTCTCCAACCCCACCCCTATTTTTTCTTGAGGCAAATCAAAACTGTACTCATTCCTGTTAAGAGTGAGATAACAGAGCGCAGAACGATAAAGAGGGCAAGAGACAGACAGAGGGAACAAGAGAGAGAGAACACTAGAGGAAGGGATAATCCCAGTTGGTATTAAATAGAATGTTGCGGCCCCCGCCGCCTGTGTGGAAAACAACCCGGGGTTACCCCATAGATACACACAGCGAGGCAGGGCTTAACGTGACCACGGCCCCGAGTAGGGTACAGCCGTAGGGTACTCCCGTTACTCCTATGATAAATGGCATACTTTACTCATAACCCGACAACGGCTGTATTATTTTTTATGTATGAGTTTATAAACATTTTGGATATGCTTGGTTGGTCATTTTTAACATACTTATGTCATCTTAAATCAACAAACTACATCATACCTAAAAACACTTTCATTCTAAACGTAAAAATGTTAGCATGAACAGATAGACTGTGGCAATGAATGTATGTCACAATTATCAGCCAAAGGGACGATTCCAACAAACATTCAAACTAGCTAGCCCTGCTTTTAAGATGCCGAAAGGCTGTTGCGTATCATTTTGTTTGAACAATAGTTGGAGAAAAAGAACACCAAATTAAGTTTAATCAACTGCCCAAGGACCAGGTTAGACGAACCTCACGGTTTCAGGCTATTACGTCACAATGATAATGGAAAGCTGTGGGTCTGGTTACTCTATACATTTTTGTGTGTTCAAAGCACTTCATCACTGGTCGCTAACACTTGTTTGTATCAAACTAGCTATGTGTATTGCATAAACGTGGCTAGTTAGCTTGTAGTAAGGACTAGTGAGCTGTATCCATCCAAATAACAGCTAAAATATCCTTCTGCATTTGGATATTTATGCAAAACTGGAGATTCCACCAAGTAGGTGGGATTCGCCATAGGCTACTTCGGGCCATTTGGTAGGGTTGTCTCCCCAGCTGGTCTCTGGCAAGTTGAAAGAACATATAGGCAAGACAACAAGAATCAACTTTTCTAAATACCTAGACCGTTCAAGGGCAGGTAAAGACTGGAAGTTGTTATGCGACATATCTAAGACTATAATTTGCTGTTGTGACAGCCAAGTATGTTAATAATGACACGTGAGGCTGCAGAAATTGTTTACTGAAACGACAAAAAGTGTCAGTGTTTCCTTAGGATGCTGCCAAAGTTAGACTAATTACATAGGAGTAATGGGAGTACCCTACGGCTGTACCCTACTCAGGGGCGTGGTCACGTTAAGCCACGCCTATTGGCTCACAAATTTTTTTTGTTGTCTGCTGGTTTAAGTCAATTACAAAACTACACTGAACAAAAATATAAACACACCATGTTTCATGAGCTGAAATAAAAAGATACCAGACATTTTCCATACCCACAAAAAGCTTATTTCTCTAAAATGTTGTGCACAAATCTGTTTACGTCCCTGTTAGTGAGCAGTTCTCCTTTGTCAAGATAATCCATCCACCTGACAGGTGTGGCATTTCAAGAAGCTGATTAAACAGCATGATCATTACACAGGTTCACCTTGTGCTGGGGACAACAAAAAGGCCACTCTAAAATGTGCAGTTTTGTCACACAACACAATGCCACAGATGTCTCAAGTAGACGGAGCATTCAATTGGCATGCTGACTGCAGGAATGTCCACCAGAGCTGTTGCCAGAGAATTGAATGTTCATTTTTCTACCATAATCCACCTCCAATGTCGTTTAAGAGAATTTGGCAGTACGTCCAACCGGCCTCACAACCGCAGGCCACATGTATGGTATCGTGTGGGCGAGCGGTTTTCTGATGTCAAACGTCGTGAACAGAGTGCCCCATGGTGGTGGTGAGTTATGGTATGGGCAGGCATAAGCTACGGACAATGAACACAATTGCATTTTATCTATGGCAATTTGAATGCACAGAAATACCGTGATAAGGTCCTGAGGACCATTATCTTGCCATTCATCCGCCACCATAACCTCGTGTTTCAGCATGATAATGCACAGCCTCATGTCGCAAGGATCTGTACACAATTCCTGGAAACTGAAAATGTCTCAGTCCTTCCATGGCCTGCATACTCAGACATGTCACCCATTGAGCATGTTTGGGATGCTCTGGATCAACATGTACGACAGCGTGTTCCAGTTCCTGCCAATATCCAGCAACTTCGCACAGCCATTGAAGAGGAGTGGGACAACATTCCACAGGCCACAATCAACAGCCTGATCAACTCTATGCAAAAGGAGATGTGTCACGCTGCATGAGGCAAATGGTGGTCACACCAGATACTGACAGGATTTCTGCTCCACACCCCTACCTTTCTTAACATATCTGTGACCAACAGATGAATATCTGTATTCCCAGTCATGTGAAATCCATAGATTAGGGCCTAATTTATTTATTTATATTGACTGATTTCCTTATATGAACTGTAACTCTTTGAATTTGTTGCATGTTGCGTTTATATTTTATATGTGTGCATGTTGCATTTATATTTTTGTTCAGTATACATTTAAGAAAAGTACAGTTGAAGTCGGAAGTTTACATACACCTTAGCCAAATACATATAAACTCAGTTTTTCACAATTCCTGACATTTAATCCTAGTAAAAATTCCCTGTCTTAAGTCAGTTAGGATCACCACTTTATTTTAAGAATGTGAAATGTCAGAATAATAGTAGAGAGAATGATTTATTTCAGCTTTTATTTATTTCATCACATTCCCAGTGGGTCAGAAGTTTACATACATTCAATTAGTATTTGGTAGCATTGCCTTTAAATTGTTTAACTTAGGTCAAACGTTTCAGGTAGCCTTCCACAAGCTTCTCACAATAAGTTGGGTGAATTTTGGCCCATTCCTACTGGCAGAGCTGGTGTAACGGAGTCAGGTTTGTAGGCCTCCTTGCTCGCACACGCTTTTTCAGTTCTGCCCACAAATGTTCTATAGGATTGAGGTCAGGGCTTTGTGATGGCCACTCCAGTACCTTGATTTTGTTGTCCTTAAGCCATTTTGCCACAACTTTGGAAGTATGCTTTGGGTCATTGTCCATTTGGAAGACCCATTTGCGACCAAGCTTTAACTTCCTGACTGATGTCTTGAGATGTTGCTTCAATATATCGACATAATTTTCCCTTCCTCATGATGCCACCTATTTTGTGAAGTGCACCAGTCCCTCCTGCAGCAAAGCACCCCCACAGCATGATGCTGCCACTCCCGTGCTTCACGGTTGGGATGATGTTCTTCAGCTTGCAAGTTATCCCCCTTTTTCCTTCAAACATAATGATGGTCATTATGGCCAAAAAGTTCTATTTTTGTTTCATCAGACCAGAGGACATTTCTCCAAAAAGTACGATCTTTGTCCCCATGTGCAGTTGCAAACTGTAGTCTGGCTTTTTTATGCCGGTTTTGGAGCAGTGGCTTCTTCCTTGCTGAGCGGCCTTTCAGGTTATGTCGATATAGGACTTGTTTTACTGTGGATATAGATACTTTTGTACATGTCTCCTCCAGCATCTTCACAAGGTCCTTTGCCGTTGTTCTGGGATTGATTTGTACTTTTCGCACCAAAGTACGTTCATCTCTAGGAGACAGAACATGTCTCCTTCCTGAGCGGTATGACGGCTGCGTAGTCTCATGGTGTTTATACTTGCGTACTATTGTTTGTACAGATGAACGTGGTACCTTCAGGCGTTTGGAAATTGCTCCCAAGGATGAACCAGACCATTTTTCTGTTTAAAGCTGTTTAAAGGCACATACAACTTAGTGTATGTAAACTTCTGACCCACTGGAATTGTGATACAGTGAATTATAAGTGAAATAATCTGTCTGTAAACAATTGTTGGAAAGATTACTTCAGAAAGTATTCATACCCCTCAACTTATTCCACATTGTTGTGTTACAGTCTGAATTCAAAATTGATTAAATATATTTTTTCTCTCTCACCCATCTACACACAATACCCCATAATGACAAAGCACATTATTTTTTAAATACATTTTTGCAAATGTATTGAAAATGAAATATTACATTTACCTAAGTATTCACACCCCTTTGCTATGACAGTCAAAATTTTGCTCAGGTGCATCCAATTTCCTTTGATCATCCTTGAGATATCACTTCAACTTGATTGGAGTCCACCTATGACCCAAATCAATTATTTGGACATGATTTAGAAAGAAACACACCTGTCTATATAAGGTACCACAGTTGACAGTGCATGTCAGAGCAGAAACTATACCATGAAGTCCAAGGAACTGTCCTTAGATCGCCAATATAGTATTGTGATGAGGCATATATCTGGGGAAGGGTATAAAACTATTTCTAGAGTGTTGAACGGTTCCAAAAACACAGTGGTCTCCATCAATGGGAAAAAATATCTAACTACCCAGACTCTGCCTAGAGCTGACCGTTCCACCAAACTGAGCAACCGGCCAAGAAGGACCTGTAGGGAGGTGACCAAGAACCCAATGACAGAACTTCAGAGTTCCTAGGCTGAGATGGGAGGACCTGCCAGAAGGACAGTCTACAGCACTTCACCAATCTGGGCTTTATGGGACAGTGGCCAGACGGAAGCCACTCCTGATAAAAAGGCACATGACAGCACGCCTGGAGTTTGCAAAAAGGCACGTGAAAGACAGATCATAAGGCAAAATATTCTGTGGTCTGATGAGACAAAATTGTAACTCTTTGGCCTGAATGCAAAGCACTATGTCTGGAGAAAACCAGGCACAACTAATCACCCGTCTAACACCATCCCTACCGTGAAGCATGGTGGTAGCAGCATCATGCTATGGGGATGCTTTTCAGCGGCAGGGACTGGGAGACTGGTAAGGATAGAGGGATCAATGAATGGAGCCAAATACAGGCAAATCCTTGATGAGAACCTGCTTCTGAGTGCAAACAACCTCAGACTGGGGCGAAGATTTATGTTCGAACAGGACAATGACCCCAAGCACACAGCCAAAGCAACGCTGGAATGGCTTCAGAACAAGTATCTCCCATTCCTCTCTGCAGATCCTCTATTTTCAGGTCTCTCCAAAGATGTTCGATTGGGTTCAAGTCCGGGCTCTGGCTTGGCCACTCAAGGACATTCAGAGACCTGTCCCGAAGCCACTCCTGCGGTCTTGGCTGTGTGCTTAGGGTCGTTGTCCTGTTGGAAGGTGAACCTTCGCCCCAGTCAGAGGTCCTGAGCGCTCTGGAGCAGGTTTTCATCAAGGATCTCTCTGTACTTTGCTCTGTTCATCTTTGCCTCGACCCTGACTGGTCTCCCAGTCCCTGCCGCTGAAAAACATCCCCACAGCATGATGCTGCCACCACCATGCTTCACCATAAGGATGGTGCCAGGCTTGGCATTCAGGCCAAAGAGTTCAATTTTAGGTGCCTTTTGACAAACTCCAAGCGGGCTGTCATGTGCCTTTTACTGAGGAGTGGCTTCTGTCTGGCCATGCTACCATAAAGGCCTGATTGGTGGAGTGCTGCAGAGATGGTTGTCCTTCTGGAAGGTTCTCCCATCTCCACAGAGGAACTCTGGAGCTCTGTCAGAGTGACCATCGGGTGCTTGGTCACCTCCCTGACCAAGGCCCTTCTCTCCCGATTGCTCAGTTTGGCCAGGTGGCCAGGTCTAAGAAGAGTCTTGGTGGTTCCAAACTTCTTCCATTTATGAATGATGGAGGCCACTGTGTTCTTGGAGACCTTCAATGCTGCAGAAATGTTTTGGTACACTTGCCCAAATCTGTGCCTCGATGCAATCCTGTCTCGGAGCTCTACGGACAATTAATTCGACCTCATGGCTTGGTTTTTGCTCTGACATGCACTGTCAACTATGGGACCTTATATAGACAGGTGTGTTTCTTTCCAAATCATGTCCAATCAATTGAATTTACCACAGGTGGACTCCAATCAAGTTGTAGAAACATCGCAAGGATGATCAATGGACACAGGATGCACCTGAGCTCAATTTCGAGTCTCATAGCAAAGGGTCTGAATACTTATGTAAATAAGGTGTTTCTGTTTTTAGTTTTTAATACATTTGCAAACATTTCTAAAAACCTGTTTTCACTTTGTCATTATGGGGTATTGTGTGTAGATTGCTGAGGATTTGTATTTATTTAATCCATTTTAGAATAAGGCTCTAACTTAACAAAATGTGGAAAACGTCAAGGGGTCTGAATACTTTCCGAAGGCACCGTATAACTTAACAGAGCTTGAGAAAATCTGCAAGGGAATTCCCCAAATCCAGATGTGAAAAGCTGATACAGACACACCCAAGACAACTCAAAGCTGTAATCGCCGCCAAAGTTGCTTCTACAAAGTATTGACTCAGGGGTGTGAATACTTATGTAAATGAGATATTTCTGTATTTCATTTTCCTAAAATGTTCAATCATTTCTAAAAACATAATAATCTATTTAATACATTTTGAATTCAGGCTATAACAACAAAATGTGGATTAAATCAAGGGGTATGAATACTTCCACACCGAAAAGCCTGAAGCCACAGGGCTCTTACATTTACATTTCATTTCAGTCATTTAGCAGACGCTCTTATCCAGAGCGACTTACAGTTAGTGAGTGCATACATATTTTATTTTTCATACTGGCCCCCCGTGGGAATCAAACCCACAACCCTGGCGTTGCAAGCGCCATGCTCTACCAACTGAGCTACACGGGGCTCTTCTCGCAGGCTCCATTTCCCTACATGGAAGCATTGCGAACCGTAGATTCCGAGATTTTACCAGGTTACATGTACATTGAACAACACAGCAGCTTTTCGGCATGTTTTGGTATTTCTGTATAACAAAAAATCTATGACGAAGTTGGCTCTTTTACAATGACGGTCAATGGGAAAGAATGTTTGGTTTTCCCCAAATGGTGGGCGTGGTCGAGAGGAATTCCTTCTTATGACATTAAATACCGACTCTGACTATTCCTCTGTTACCTGCTCCAGAGTCAACTTGTGTAGCTCCTCCTCCCAGGCTGGTGGGTTGGTGTGGTGATAGTGGAGGGGCGGGGTCAGGTCACTGAGGATGCTGGGGTCTCGGTCGTGGCAGAGGTCAGTCAGGTGGTCGATGTAGAGCTTCAGCTTACTGCGATTTTCACTCAGGGACAGGAGAGGTGGGATCATCTGGATGGGACAGGGGGAAGGGGGGAGAGGGAGGGGAGAAATAAATGAAGGAACCAGTTGGATAAAGGAAGAGAGAGAAAAATGTCATTTCATTAGGTCCCAGTGTGTTTTCAGAGGCTAAACCATGCTAAACCAAAAGCATGGAGCATGCAGAAGGAGGAAGAATAAGGCTGCATCTCACATGCATTAAGGAGATGGGATTGTGGAGTATGGTATGTGGGACAGAAGTGTGTCCTGCTGTGTGTGTGTCTGACTATTTGAATGACTCAGTTGTTCACAGACACACCAACTTAAAATGGTGAGAGGAGAGAAAGATGACAAAACAAAATGGAGGAGCAGAACGAACACACTGAACGATGGAATAAGAGCAAACATGCCAGGGAGGAGGTGAAGAATGGACAGATGACTGACGTTCATTCGTGCTCACCCTTCTGAACAAATTGGCAGAGAGAGAGAGGGGAGGAGGGCACAGGGTTGGCTATGCCCAGATACCCTCCTCATCATCCTATTGGACAGATGGTTTAGCCAATCGCAGCATTAGAAAATAACACTTGGTTAGTGTGTGTGCACGAGACAGAACAAAGAGTGCGAGAGAGAACACTTAGGTTTAGGTGCTGAAGAAAGATTAAATTGTTTATACAGTGAGGGAAAAAAGTATTTGATCCCCTGCTGATTTTGTACGTTTGCCCACTGACAAAGACATGATCAGTCTATAATTTTAAATGGTAGGTTTATTTGAACAGTGAGAGACAGAATAACAAAAAAAAAACATAGCCCCGTCCATCATCCCTTTGATGCGGTGAAGTTGTCCTGTCCCCTTAGCAGAAAAACACCCCCAAAGCATAATGTTTCCACCTCCATGTTTGACGGTGGGGATGGTGTTCTTGGGGTCATAGGCAGCATTCCTCCTCCTCCAAACACGGCGAGTTGAGTTGATGCCAAAGAGCTCCATTTTGATCTCTTCTGACCACAACACTTTCACCCAGTTCTCCTCTGAATCATTCAGATGTTCATTGGCAAACTTCAGACGGCCCTGTATATGTGCTTTCTTGAGCAGGGGGACCTTGCGGGCGCTGCAGGATTTCAGTTCTTCACGGCGTAGTGTGTTACCAATTGTTTTCTTGGTGACTATGGTCCCAGCTGCCTTGAGATCATTGACAAGATCCTCCCGTGTAGTTCTGGGTTGATTCCTCACCGTTCTCATGATCATTGCAACTCCACGAGGTGAGATCTTGCATGGAGCCCCAGGCCGAGGGAGATTGACAGTTATTTTGTGTTTCTTCCATTTGCGAATAATCGCACCAACTGTTGTCACCTTCTCACCAAGCTGCTTGGCGATGGTCTTGTAGCCCATTCCAGCCTTGTGTAGGTCTACAATCTTGTCCCTGACATCCTTGGAGAGCTCTTTGGTCTTGGCCATGATGGAGAGTTTGGAATCTGATTGATTGATTGCTTCTGTGGACAGGTGTCTTTTATACAGGTAACAAGCTGAGATTAGGAGCACTCCCTTTAAGAGTGTGCTCCTAATCTCAGCCTGTTACCTGTATAAAAGACACCTGGGAGCCAGAAATCTTTCTGATTGAGAGGGGGTCAAATACTTATTTCCCTCATTAAAATGCAAATCAATTTATAACATTCATGACATGCGTTTTTCTGGATTTTTTTGTTGTTATTCTGTCTCTCACTGTTCAAATAAACCTACAATTAAAATTATAGACTGATCATTTCTTTGTCAGTGGGCAAACGTACAAAATCAGCAGTGGATCAAATACTTTTTCCCTCACTGTATTAGGAGTGATGATTCAATTTCACTTCAGGGACAGAAAGACAGTTGACATAAATTCATATACTGGAGAAAGAAAGTATATTCTGGTTAAGCTGCACATGTTATCACAATAACACATTTTATCTAGAGATAGCCTTTGAGTGCAAAATATAGGATTCTGTTTGGTTGACTGGGTACCCACCTGATCTGGAGAAGGTTTGTGATTGGTCTGGTCGGGGGCGGTCTTCAGGTGGTCGTCCTCATAGTTGTCTGCCATTAGCTTCATACGGTTCTGAGTCTGGGAGAGCGAGAAAGATGGAGGACGGAGGAGAAAGGGGGAAGAGAGGAGAATGTGGAAAGGATTTCAGGGAGAGAGACTTAAGGAACGTTTTTGACCAGCATATTCATGGTGCATTGAGCAGGCAGCTGTGCCAAGAGGAGTTTAAGGCTGCCTACTCTTTTGATTTTGACACTCGCTGCAAAGTCAATAGCTATATGTATAAACGATTGGAGGTCTGTTTAGTCTCTCCCTATTTCAGGTGAAGGAGAGGAGATGAGTAGAGGAAGTGACTTAGCATTATTGAAATACATCTCTAATGTCACAGTGGCCGGACCCAGGTCACGTGACGAGGGAGTTTTCCCTACCTGCTGTTTGAGCTGTTGTACCAGACGGTCCTTCTCTCTCTTCAGCAGAGCCACCTCATCCTGGGTCTTCTTCTTCTTGGACGAGGACAGCTCCAGCAGGGCGATGTTGGCGTCCTTCTCACTGATGGCTGCCAGCAGCGCCTCCTGTCTGCACCGAGGAGGAATTACAGGGTGGCATTTTAGAATAATGAGTCATCTACACTGTGCATGATATTCGATTACCTTGGAGTCTTACAGCATTACCTGACCGTAAGATGTTTGGTGACTTGGTAAAGTGGGGGGAATGGAAACGGTGTTTAAACAGTGTGTGTTTGTGTGTGTCTTACTTCATCTCCAGCACCTCCTCCAGGTGTTTCCTGCGTTCAACCCTCAGCGTGGTCAGGTGGGCCTCCTTCTCACACAGGGACTGCTGGGTAGACGACAGCTTGGCCCTCATGGACTCTAGCTCCTGTTTCACCTTCTCCATGGCCCCCAGCAGCTCCTCAATCTGCACACACACCACACACACACACACACACACGCACCATAGAACGAAGACAGTACAAACACACAAGTAGAGAGAGTGAAAATGTATGAGACGTGTTCATCATTCAAAGACATAACCTTCCTCCTGTACAGACCCATTTTGAGGGCCATCAGAGGTTGTATGTTATTGAAAATATGTCTCTGTCCAGAAAGAACCCCTAACCCCTAGGCATTAGCCCTTACACCCTAGCCACTAGTGTAAATCTGAACGGATTGACGGGTTATAGACCAGCAATATGGTGAACAGGGTTAGGCAACTAAATTCAGCTGTTGGTCGGATTTTGTCAGAGCAGCTAGTCAGGGGGCCAGAACAAAATTATAATAATTTGTACACTGCGAATTGACCACAACTAAGCCCAAAAAGAGATTGTATTTTAAAATAACAATAATTTCATACCTTGATTACACGTCTCTTTTTTTATTAGTGGGAATACCTGGTGAACAGATTCTCATTTTTAGCTGAAAACGTTTTAAAAATCACTCGCTGGCAGGTTTTGGCCCGCGGGCTGCCTGTTGCCGATCCCCGGACTAGGGTTTGTTTCTGGACCCAACCCCACTGAGGAGTTGGATGTACAACAAGGGGCTCCAATGACAGCTCTAAACAGCACTAAATATACTACTTCACTGTAGTACTTTCATTTACCTGTCATTTACTTAGAAGTCACATGGTTAACAGTACAACTCAATATTGCTAAATAATAACTACTTAATTATCTGGGGTGCATTGTAAATACTACCATCAAGACGTATGTTAGTATCATTAGTTACCAACTAGTTACAGATTGGCATTACTAGAAATACATACCAGAAGTAGAGCCCGACCGATATTAAAATCGGCCGATATTGGCCGTTTAACGCTATAAAATCGTTATTGACCGATAACCGATATTCAATAAATAGGATGAAAAAAGGGAATCTCATGCTTATCTGAACACTTGCGGCCATTCTCATGATCTGTCATTATTAACACAATATATGAAATTAACATTTGAAGCATAGATATTGGACAATTTATGAGAATTCAGTGTGGAAAAAATATACTTTTTCATTTCCCAGATATAAAACAGTATATCGGCAGATATATCGGTACGTTTTGCCCCCCAGAAATCGGAATTGGACCCCAGAAAAACATATAGGTCAGGCTCTAACCAGAAAGTTTAGTTGACGCCATGTAATTTCAAAGTGAATAGTAGGTAAATGGTAAAATGATAATATGGTCTGAAGAGCTACTACTGATCCAAAGGGTGAAATACAACATTATGTCATACCTTAGACCACTTAAAGTGGGCGTGGTTGGACTCATGCATTGGTTTGTGTGAGTGCTTCTGAGAGGCAGTGAGTAGCAGAGATAAAACAGGAGAAAATGAGAGATAAGAAAACGGAGAAAAGGAGGGATGGCAGGGCGAGAGTGAAACGTAGCCAGCAGGGCTGAAAGGAGAGGAGATAGAAGCCGTCTGTGTAGCTTTGTACATGTGTATATATGTGTGTGCGCTTTCTCAAGGTGTTCTTTTAGTGAGTGCATGTGCTTGCGGTATGTGTGTGTCCACTGCATGAGTGTGTATTTGTGTTGCAAGTGTGTGTGTGTATGTGTGGGCGGGTACGTGCGTGTACGTGTGTGTGCCAGTGCGCGTGTACTTCTGTTGCGTGTGTGCGTACCTGTTTCTCCTGGTGGTTCCTGGCAGCCTCCTCCTGTGCCAGCACCATCTCTCTCTCTGCTGTGATCTGAACACTCTCTCTCAGAGCCTCCTCTAACTCCTCGATACGCTCCGTCTTCAACCGCAGAGAGTCCTGGAGGGGAGAAGAACATGAATAGAAGACGACAGGAGGAAGAGAGAAGACAGAGGTAGAGGAAGACAATTAAGGATATTGATGTCAAACTACATTTAGTGCAACAAGGAGAGCTTTCTTTGTGAGTGTTGACATTAGTCGCACACATCGATACAGCCACCCCCCCCCATGCCTCACCTTGACCTGTTGAGAGCTCTCTGAGATGTTGTCCTCTCTCTTTTTGGCTTCGTTCTTCAGTTGGGCGTTCCTACTCTTCTCCACCTGCTCCTTATGTTTCAGAGACGCCACCTTCTTACTCTGGTCCTTGGTCTGTCTGGAGGGCACCATGGGACACAGGAGGACTGGGTTACACACATTCCCATAGGCTTACACACATTCCACTGAAGCATCAAAGGGAGAGGGAGTTAGACAGAAAGAGAGGGGGGAGAAAGAGAAAATGAAGCGGGGTGAAGAGACTGGTGAATGTGAGAGTGGGAGGGCAGGGGAGGGAGAGCAAAAGCAATTGAGAAGAAGAGAGAGGGAGGATGGGGGAAGAAGGGAGGGAGGAAGTCAAGCCAGTACATAGAGGCCATGTAGAAAACATGTTACTAACCTGGAGGACTGACTGGAGAGGAGACAGAGAGTTCCGGCAAAAAGACAAGGCAGGAGAGAGAAACAGATTCAGAGAGCAGGAAGACGAGAAGGTGGAAGGAGAAGAGTAGGACCATGTGGTATTTCAGAAGAAAACACATACATTAGACCAGGTAGGAGCTCATACACATTTCTATAGTTAGACTGCTGTTTACAGAGACTATGAGTCAGACACAAACAAACAGTCAGAAAGATACACAAACACACACACACACACACCACACACACACACCTCTCCAGCTCGTTGATCTTGCGGTCCTTGTCATTCTTCTCGTTCTCCATCTCTCTCAGGATCTCCAGCAGCCGGTCCACCTCCGCCTGAGCCTTCCCAGAATCCTCTCGGTGTCGGGTAACTTCCCGCTCCAGGGAGGTGATGCGCTCCGACAGCTCCGTGTTCGCCTTGGCCTCCAACGTCGCATTCTGTGCCTGGAAACAGACACACACACACAGTCAGACACACACACACTCACAGCAAAGGTAGCCTTAGATCAGTGTCTAAGGCCAATATCTCACCCTCTTGAGCTGGTTCTCCAGTTTGAGACACGCCTCCTTCCTCTGCTCCAGAGAGATCTCCATACTCTTCAGCTTGGAGTCTTTCTTCAGCCCTGAGGAGGCCAGGGACGACGCATGCTCCTTCAGGTCCAACAGGTTAGTCTGGAGAGAGGGAGGGTGGGGTTAATAAATGTGTCAGTGTCACTACAGTGTGTGTATGTGTGTACACGCGTGTTCACCTCTCTGTCGGACAGATCTCCCTGCAGCAGACTGACTTTCTCCTTCAGATCCTTCAGTTCTTTCTTGTTGCTGTCGATCTCCTCAGTCTTCTCCCTGTCGTCTCTGTCTCTCTGCTCCTTCAGACGCTCAATGATACGCTCCTACAGAGGAGAGAATAGGAGGGGAGGCACAGAACAACATCATCGTCACATAATTTCAGAGCCCATATGAGAGAACCACAAACATCCAGGACAGAAACAGCATGACTTTAAATGACACACATTGCTTGTGTCTCTCTGTTGGAGTCTGAGTGTGAGTGTGTGTGTCTGTGTGTGTGTCTGTGTACCTTCTCAGCAAGGGACTCCTCCAGTGTGGTGAGAGCAGTGTCTGTGTTAGAGGTGTCTGCCTGTAGAGACTTGACTCTCTCCTTCAGGCTGCTCATTTGCTTCTCCTTGTCTCTCAGCTGCTCCTGCAGGTTCTCAATCTGGACACACAAACACACTTAGGCGAGCTAGACAAAAGACATACACAAAACGCCTACTAAATAGGACGTAGTATGAGGTATTGTATCCCATTGTATTATACAGTGTGTTATATAGTCGAGGCCCACCTTCTTCTGCAGGACGTTGACCTTTCGCTCCTTGACCTCCAGCATGTCCTTGAGGTCGTGGATCTCTCCGTTGAGCGTGCCCTTCTCCTCAGACATCTCCTGGATCTGTTTACTCTTCTTGTTCAGAGTGGTCTCCTTCTCCTCCAGACGCAGACGCAATGCATCCACCTGGCCAGTAGAGGGCAGAGGAGAACAGCTCAGTATACTGGGTCTGTGTGTGTGCGCGCTGTACATTGTATTAGGTACACCCATCAAGTACCGGGACGGACCCCCCTTTGCCTCCAGAACAGCCTGAATTATTTGGGGCATTCTACAAGGTGTCAGAAACGTTCCACAAGGATGTTGGTCCATGCTGACGCAATGGCATCACGCAGTTGCTTCAGATTGGACGGCGGTACATTCATGCTGCGAACAGCCATTCCATCTCATCCCAAAGATGCTGTATTGGGTTGAGGTCTGGGGACTGCGCAGGCCACTCAAGTAAACTGAACTCACGATCATGTTCCAGGCAATGTTTTTCCACTCCTCAATTGTCCAGTGTTGGTGATCGTGTGCCCACTGGAGACGCTTCTTCTTGTTTTTAGCTAATAGGAGTGGAACCCAGTGTGGTCATCTGCTGCAATAGCCCATCCATGACAAGGATTGACATGTTGTGCGTTCCGAGATGCCGTTCTGCACACCACTGTTGTACTGCGCCGTTATTTGTCTGTTTGTAGCCCGCCTGTTAGCTTGCACGATTCTTACCATTCTCCTTCCACTGCTCTCATCAACAAGCTGTTTTCGCCCACAGGACTGCCGCTGACTAGGGTTGACCATTCTCTGTAAACCCTAGGCAATGTCGTGTGTGAAAAGCCCAGGAGGGCGGCCGTTTCTAAGATACTGGATCCGGCATGCCTGGCACTGACGATTATACCACGCTCAAAGTCGCTTTAGGTCACTCGTTTTGCCCATTCTTAGGTCACTCACTTTGCCTGTTCAATCGTACAGTAAGAATGCCTTGATGCCTGTCTGCCTGCTTTATATAGCAAGTCACGGCCACATGACTCACTGTCTCTATAGGGGCAATCCATTTTCGTGAACGGGGTTGTGTACCTAATACACTGGCCTGTGAGAGAGTATATATAGTTATATTGCTCGTTCTGAAATATATGTGTGTGTACCTCTGTCTGTAGGATGGCAGCTCGTTGTTCTTTAGCAGTCAGAGACTCCTTGAGGACCTCGATGTGCTGCTTGCTATCAGAGAACTGGTTGGTCAGAGTCTCCAGCTTGGTCTGCAAACCCAGCAGCTCTGTGTCCTTCCTGGACAAGTCCTGCTTCACCTGGTCCATCTGAGACAGTGAAAGAGAGTGAGAGAGAGGGAGGAGAAGAGGAGAAAGAGAAGGGAGAGGTGGAGGAAGAGGACAATAAGAGCAAAAAAGGGGAGAAGAGAGGAATGGTAGAGGAGAGGTAGAGGGTGATGAGCAGAAGGAGGAAGGTAGGGATATGAAGAGAACATGTACAACTACAGAACAGATTGATATTGAGCTGATTGGAAGGAACTGAACCAACTTCTGACCTCTCAGAACCAAGGGGAACTGAAGTCCGACCAATGTAAGTAAGCATTTCACTGTAAGGTCTACACCGGTTGTATGCGGCACATGTGGCAAAAAAAAATTCATTTGATTTGTAAACGGATAGAAATGGAATTCTAACCAATGACAACTGAGGGGAAGTGACCTCTGACCTTGTTCTTCATGAACTTGGTGTGGCTGCGGTAGACTTCCATCTGTTTAATCTCCTCCTGTCTCTCCTCACAGCTCAGCAGGCCGTTGGACTTCAACATCATCACCTCCTCCTCCATGTCCCTCAGACCTCGCTCCAGTGAGTTGATCTTAGCATCCTGACACACACCAGACAGATAAGGGGTTAATACACTAGGGCTGTCCCCGACAAAAATAAAATCTTGGTCGACCAAAAGTCGTCCGTTCTTTCGACCAATCGATTGGTCTAAATTTTAAAACATGCATTTTTCCATACATAGACACACCATATGTGTTTTAATCAAATCGACTATATGCACTGACTGAGCTTGTCTAATGCTTTACGCGCACTGTTTGATGAAATAATTAAGACACACAAATGACTAGAGGGAGTCTGACCGCAATTGATTTGATTGTGCCGGGCTCAGACTTGCTGCGCTGTGTTAAAAAAATGACAGCGAGTGACTGTGTGACTAGCACAGGTTGTCTGTCTCTCCTCCCTGCTGCGGTGACCACCACAGAACATAAGTGTTTATCGCGCTATCCTTGTTGCTGAAGCTGCAACATAATTACAGCCATTTCTGACTGAAATGTTCTGTTACCGAAATCCCTCATTTGTTTAGGAAAAACATTCCCTATTCCCTCAACCCTTGCTCTCTTTACGTGACACATGTATGCATCGCATGCACGTGACCAATAGGGCCTGTCCTATAGCATATCATAATCACATCAATAAATTAGTTATAACAAACTCAACACCATAACAGCAAAATGGATGCAGAGGACGTGAGAAATGAACTCAAAATGGGGGAATGTTTACTGGTTGCTCAGGAGGTAAAGGGGGAGTCAGATGTGTGGAATAAATTTGACTAGTTGTGGAAAATACTGGAGATAAAAAAAAGAAGGTAAGGAGCGCTGAGTGCATATTATGTGTGCCAAACAGGTGCTGTTTGATTACAATATAATTTCTCTGACAATTTGGAACAATGTATACACTAAATCAATTATAATCATACCAAAGTTTTTTTGTTAAGCCTTTATACAGCAAAGACAAAAAACAGTCACATTCATTCGTGAATGCAATTTCCAAAATGGAACGGTTTATTTATTTTTTACGCGAATTCTTCAGAGGTCGCTTTGATATTTTCTTTTAAAACTAAAATGCTTTATGGCATTTCAAATCATGAATGACTCATATGCTGTGTGATGACATGAACGAATGAATGATTGATTGATACAGTAGCCTATATACAGTGAGGGAAAAAATTATTTGATCCCCTGCTGATTTTGTACGTTTGCCCACTGACAAAGACATGATCAGTCTATAATTTTAATGGTAGGTTTATTTGAACAGTGAGAGACAGAATAACAACAACAAAATCCAGAAAAACGCATGTCAAAAATGTTATAAATTGATTTGCATTTTAATGAGGGAAATAAGTATTTGACCCCTCTGCAAAACATGACTTAGTACTTGGTGGCAAAACCCTTGTTGGCAATCACAGAGGTCAGACGTTTCTTGTAGTTGGCCACCAGGTTTGCACACATCTCAGGAGGGATTTTGTCCAACTCCTCTTTGCAGATCTTCTCCAAGTCATTAAGGTTTCGAGCCTGACGTTTGGCAACTCGAACCTTCAGCTCCCTCCACAGATTTTCTATGGGATTAAGGTCTGGAGACTGGCTAGGCCACTCCAGGACCTTAATGTGCTTCTTCTTGAGCCACTCCTTTGTTGTCTTGGCCGTGTGGTTTGGGTCATTGTCATGCTGGAATACCCATCCACGACCCATTTTCAATGTCCTGGCTGAGGGAAGGAGGTTCTCACCCAAGATTTGAAGGTACATGGCCCCTTCCATCGTCCCTTTGATGCGGTGAAGTTGTCCTGTCCCCTTAGCAGAAAAACACCCCCAAAGCATAATGTTTCCACCTCCATGTTTGACGGTGGGGATGGTGTTCTTGGGGTCATAGGCAGCATTCCTCCTCCTCCAAACACGGCGAGTTGAGTTGATGCTAAAGAGCTCGATTTTGGTCTCATCTGACCACAACACTTTCACCCAGTTCTCCTCTGAATCATTCAGATGTTCATTGGCATACTTCAGACGGGCCTGTATATGTGCTTTCTTGAGCAGGGGCACCTTGTGGGCGCTGCCGTATTTCAGTCCTTCAGGGCGTAGTGTGTTACCAATTGTTTTCTTGGTGACTATGGTCCCAGCTGCCTTGAGATCATTGACAAGATCCTCCTGTGTAGTTCTGGGCTGATTCCTCACCGTTCTCATGATCATTGCAACTCCACGAGGTGAGATCTTGCATGGAGCCCCAGGCCGAGGGAGATTGACAGGTCTTTTGTGTTTCTTCCATTTGCGAATAATCGCACCAACTGTTGTCACCTTTTCACCAAGCTGCTTGGCGATGGTCTTGTAGCCCATTCCAGCCTTGTGTAAGTCTACAATCTTGTCCGTGACATCCTTGGAAAGCTCTTTGGTCTTGGCCATGGTGGAGAGTTTGGAATCTGATTGATTGATTGCTTCTGTGGACAGGTGTCTTTTATACAGGTAACAAGCTGAGATTAGGAGCACTCCCTTTAAGAGTGTGCTCCTAATCTCAGCTCGTTACTTGTATAAAAAGACACCTGGGAGCCAGAAATCTTTCTGATTGAGAGGGGGTCAAATACTTATTTCCCTCATTAAAATGCAAATCAATTTATAACATTTTTGACATGCGTTTTTCTGGATTTCTTTAGGGTTGTTATTCTGTCTCTCACTGTTCAAATAAACCTACAATTAAAATTATAGACTGATCATTTCTTTGTCAGTGGGCAAACGTACAAAATCAGCAGGGGATCAAATACTTTTTTCCCTCACTGTAAGTGTTGAAAATCTCCTGAGTAGCGCAGTGGTCTAAGGCACTGCATCGCAGTGCTAACTGTGCTACTAGAGATCCTGGTTCGAATCCAGGCTCTGTCGCAGCCGGCCGCGACCGGGAGACTCATGGGCGTCGCACAATTGGCCCAGCGTCGTCCAGGGTAGGGGAGGGAATGGCCGGCAGGGATGTAGAGCAGTTGATAGGGCATGGCGTTTGCAACGCCAGGGTTGCGGGTTCGTTTCCCATGGGGGGCCAGTATAAAACAAATATGTATTCGATAAAATAATGTATGCGCTAACTGTAAGTCGCTCTGGATAAGAGCGTATGCTAAATGTAAATGTAAATGTAAATGTAAATGTAAATATAGGTTACGGTATTAAGACTAAACAGGATGCGCTCTTAGGCCTACAGCTCGATGGTGGTTATACAAGGCTGCTATACTAAGCCTACTGATGATAATGACATTACTTATTATTATAATGATAATAATAATAGTACTAATAACAATAAGGAAATCAAGAAAAATGAGGGTTATTATTATAATAAATATAATTTCTGACAATTTGAAAGTGTGAACAATACGAAATACATAAATAATACCAGAGAGCCTTTATTACAGCATAGCAAAGATTAAAAACAGCCGAATTTGTGAAATTGTTTATCCGACATGTGGTTGCGTGAGGCTTGGTGCTCACGGAATCAGTAGACTATTAAACAAACACTCAAACAGGCAACAGAAGCAGGATCTGTCTTATTTCTGTAGATATACAGTGCATTCGGAAAGTATTCAGACCCGTTGACTTTTCCCACATTTTGTTACGTCACAGCCTTATTCTTAAATGGATTGAATTAATGTTTTCCCTTCAATCTACACACAATACCCCATAATGACAAAGCGAAAACAGGTTTTAAGAAATATATAACTGTCTATATAAAAAGGTCCCACAGTTGACAGTGCATGTCAGAGCGAAAACCAAGCCATGAGGTCGAAGGAATTGTCCGTAGAGCTCCGAGACAGTATTGTGTCAAGGCACAGCTCTGGGGAAGGGTACCAAAAAATGGCTGCAGCATTCAAGGTCCCCAAGAACACAGTGGCCACCATCATTCTTAGATGGAAGAGGTTTTGAACCACCAAGACTCTTCCTAGAGCTGGCTGCCCGGCCAAACTGAGCAATCGGGGGAGAAGGGCCTTGGTCAGTAACGTGACCAAGAACCCGATGGTCACTCTGACAGAGCTCCAAAAGTTCCTCTGTGGAGATGAGAGAACCTTCCAGAAGGACAACCATCTCTGCAGCACTCCACAATCAGGCCTTTATGGTAGAGTGGCCAGACGGAAGCCACTCCTCAGTAAAAGGCACATGACAGCCCGCATTGAGTTTGCGAAAAGGCACCTAAAGGACTCTCAGAAGATGAGAAACAGGATTCTCTGGTCTGATGAAACCAAGATTGAACTCTTTGGCCTGAATGCCAAGCGTCACGTCTGGAGGAAACCTGGCACCATCCCTACAGTGAAGCATAGTGGTGGCAGCATCATGCTATGGAGATATTTTTCAGCAGCAGGGACTGGGAGACTAGTCAGGATCGAGTGAAAGATGAACGGAGCAAAGTACAGAGAGATCCTTGATGAAAACCTGCTCCAGAGCGCTCAGGACCTCAGACTGGGGCGAAGGTTCACCTTCCAACAGGACAACGACCCTAAGCACAAAGCCATGACAAAGCAGGAGTGGCTTCGGGATAAGTCTCGGAATGTCCTTGAGTGGTCCAGCCAGAGCCCAGACTTCAACCCGATCGAACATCCCTGGAGAGACCTTAAAAAAAAAAATAGCTGTGCAACGACGCTCCCCATCCAACCTGACAGGGCTTGAGAGGATCTGCAGAGAAGAACGGGAGAAACTCCCCAAATACAGGTGTGCCAAGCTTGTAGCGTCATACCCAAGAAGACTCAAGGCTGTAATTGCTGCCAAAGGTGCTTCAACAAAGTACTGAGTAAAGGGTCTGAATCCTTATGTAAATGTGATATCATATTTATTTATTTTTATAAATTAACAAACATTTCCTGTTTTCGCTTTGTCATTATGGGGTATTGTGTGTAGATTGATGAGGGGAAAAAACAATTTAATCAATTTTAGAATAAGGCTGTAACTTAACAAAATGTGGAAAAAGTCAAGGGGTCTGAATTGTTTCCAAATCCACTGTACATGGATGATTTATAAAGCCATGCACATTTAACAGTTAGGCTTTTGATTATAGACCTTCCAGTTCTCTGCTGCAAATGACTGGAACGAACTGCAAAAATCTCTGAAGCTGGAGACACTTATCGCCCTCACTATCTTTAAGCATCAGTTGTCAGAGCAGCTTACCGATCACTGCACCTGTACACAGCCCATCTTAAATTAGCCCACCCAACTACCTCATCCCCATATTGCTATTTACATTGTTATTTATTTTGCTCATTTGCACCCCAGTATCTCTATTTGCACATCATCTTCTGCACATCTATCACTCCAGTGTTAATACTAAATTATAATTGTAATTATTTTGCACTATGGCCTATTTATTGCCTTACCTCCATAACTTACTACATTTGCACACACTGTATATAGATTTTCTATTGTGTTATTGACTGTACGTTTTGTTTATTCCATATGTTACTCTGTGTTGTTGTTGTTTTTATCGCACTGCTTTGCTTTATCTTGGCCAGGTCACAGTTGTAAATGAGAACTTGTTCTCAACTGGCTTACCTGGTTAAATAAAGGTTAAATAAAAAACATAAAAAATTAAAATAGACCTAATTAAGTTGGGGTTTCCTCTCCTCACTTTTCTTAGACAATTAAGGCAAGGGCTGTTTTCTCATCTCCTAACTGCCTCCGCTGCATTGTTCTCAACACCAATATGCTGGTTAACTTTGCTATTATGCACATAGCAACATGGTCTAGGAAAAGGTGCCAATTCAACAGCGTGTTTCAGAACCGCGGACAGTGACTGCTTTGCAACGCGGGAGAAAGCGCATGTTATAAATAAATCATATTTTTTATTAGTGTTGCACCATTGTTCTTACGCAATATAGGCCTAAGCATAAGCAAGTTCAGTAGCACGTCTTAGAGTGATGGACTGTGCCATCCCCACGACCTCGACAATGGATTAGTCCACATAGACAGGCGCAAATCATGCAGGTTTCTTGTACACCATTATTTTTTGTGGGGGGAGGGGGGGGGGGGGGGGGGGGGGGGGGGGGTCTACTGTTCGAGAAAATAAATCTCGGTCGACCAACAGTCTATTGACCAAATCGACCAGTCAACTAAATGGGGTCAGCCCTATAATACACTCACGCATGCACTTACAGACACACACACACAGAGATGGGTACCTTCATGTCGATGACGGTCTGTAGAGCCTTGGTTTTTGTGGACTCTGGGGTTCCCTCGTATCGACGGTGCAGCTCCTAAAGAGAACAAGGTCGTTACACCTCACACATTGTCTACTACACACCACTCAATCCCTAATAGTTTGTATTGTAACCCAACTAAAGCTCAATGTGTTACCTCCCTCCCTCTCATCTCGCTCTGTCCCTCACCTCTCGTAGAGCAGTTGTCTCCCTGTCTCTCTGGTCCAGTAGGGACTCTAGATGGTGTCTGTGCATCTCAGCATCAGCCAGTCTCCTGGTTCTCTCCTGGTCTTCCTCTGACGCCTTAGCCGACGGCCCTGGAATATAATACAATCATATGGTTATTTAGAAGATGTGTTAATATAAAAACATTACTAATATGGCCACAGTGTGTGTGTGGCACAGTAACCCACCTTTGCTCTGCAGCATTTCCAGTAGTTTCTTGATGGACTCGTCCCTGGCACCCAGGGTCTGTTTCTGGGTGTCTATCCTCAGCTCCATCTCCTCCAGGGTCTTCCTGAGTAGGAACAGCTCCTTGGCCTGACGCTCGTGGTCCCCGTATAGCCGACGGTAGTTCTCCTCCGTGGGTTCAGAGGTCAGGGCCAGGTCGCGACCTTGGCTGGCAGGGTCCTGCTGGAGCAGCTGGTTCAGGTCTCTCTGTATCCTCAGTTCATCCTGCAAGGCCTGGACCGTCATATGGAGGTGCTGGAGAGAGAAGAGAGAGTTTATCTATCTATTTATGGTTCACCTTTCATTTCGGGGTGCTGCATAAAATAAGACTGAGGAGATTAGGGATGGATTTGTTTATTTATCAAATAGAGGGAGAAGGGGAGAGAGAAGGAGAAGTGGAGTGGAGAGAAGAGAAGGATAGGAGGATACAGCAACGAGTAGGACACCATCTACTCAATCAGGACATTCTGACATTCTCATCCAGTAGAATACAGAGTGAGCAAAAGTACAAATCAGCCAGCATTCATTGTTTGGAGCCTGTACTGCCACAGTTATTTGACCGACCAGCTATGTGACAGAAATACAATGATGTGTTCTATTCTCTGCTTTGGATCAGCTGGGAGGCATTTCAGACAACAGCACAAAAACAAGTCAGTGTCTGTATCCATCGCTCTCTTCCTCTGCCACTCGCTCTCTCAGTCTGTCTCTTTCACCCTCCCGCTCACTCTCTCACCTTCCCTCATCCTCTCTCCTCCTCCCATACCCAGTGACTAAGTCTGACTCACTGAGATCTCTCTCTAAGAGACAAGAGGCGTTTAAAGGTCAGATTCAGCCATTTTGATCTCAATATCAAATCATTTCTGAGTAACAAGTAGCCCTTTACACTCAAATCTGTATATGGGTTGAAAATGGCAGATTTGGGCACCGATAAGCGGCTAAATTGTAACGCAGTGGCTGTACAGTAACACGCTATAAATGATGTCAGAGCTCAGACTGCGCTTCACAGTGCTGTATAGGTTAGAGGTTCTGAAGGTGAGAACTACACACAACAACAAGTTGCCCCCATCCCTTCTGCTAATTGGGCAACTTTTGTAAACGTTCTGTTGTCTGAGTGAGGGAAATTAAGAGGGCTCGATCTATTTTGAGAGATTAGACGTTGGACATTGAGGAGTATAATAAATACCGCTTTGATGTCATAAAAGAAAGCCAAACACCCGTGAGTCCAAATGTGCACTTCACATTTCCATATCATAAAACTCATGTCATATACAGTGTCAATGTTTATGATCACTATGTTTGATGTACAGTTACAAGATGACATGGTGTCATACCCTGGGTTGTTCAGAACAGAATGAGACTGTCTATTGTGAAGAAAATATGCAGCGGAACACGCACCTGAATGCACTTGGGGATTTAAAAGATATCCATTATTCTGACTCCTTTCATTGTGCACCAAAATGACGATTCGTTTCTCTGAATTGCCTTGTGAAAGCCTAACACTGTAAGATCGTATTTTATAACTTAGCTAGTCATGTTGGAAATAGAACAAGCTTAAATATGATGCCCACCTGCCCCAAATAGCGATATAAAAAATGGGCTGTTTTTGGATTGCGTAAACAACAGTAATTGTGTGATGGCGGGGGTGCAGGGTTGTGTTCCAAACAAAATAACTACAAGTGTGCTTTCTCTAGTTCCTCAACAGCAAAGCTCGGAGAACTAAAAAGCACCTTATAGTTGAGTCATAAAAGTACATTGAAATTACTTAGGAACTGCGCACAATTTGGAGACAGACACCAATTAGTCCGCTCACTCAAACCCTTGTCATTTTTTGTCTTATGTTGCACCTATCCCACATTTTCCAGGAATATTATTATCATGTTACTGAATGTAACCAGGGAATATTCTGATTTCGTTATCACAACTGCGGTGAAAAGTACAGTAAATGTAAAATGCACATAAAAATCTATAGTGTAATGTTTGGATTCAGTCTTGTGTCAGGTGAACTGTTGTGTCCTCAACTTTGGTCTAATAATTTTCCCAATAATTTCCAAACGGTTCCCTTTCAATTCCTACTATGCTTACGCTTTTCATATTTCTTCTGTAAGAAACATTTCAATTTAGCCCCATCTATATAGGCCAGTTCCCAGGAGTGGAAAGGATTATTTTCATTGAAAATATTGTCAAAAATAAACCAAAATAGCTTCCTAACCAACAGCAATTTCTTAAGCAAGTATTTTGCTAGGACGGTCTGGGTGTGGTCTAAGTTGGGAGGGGAAGGCAGAAAACTAGCTGTTATTGGCAGAGAGGTTTGAAACTCTTTCTTATTGGTCTATTAACTAATTTACCACCTGGTGATGTCACCAGGCAGGCCAAAACTCCATCCCACCAAAACAGGCTGACATTTCAGGAGGCCTTTTCAAACAGCTCTTACACTAAAAGGGCATAATCATTTTCACAATATTATTCTAACCTCAGTGTGGAAATGTATATAAAACAGGAAAATCATGTTTTTGACTGCACTTGGCCTTTAAGAGACGAGATGCAGCAAGCTGATCTAAACACAACACACACTAAGCAAGGCTATGCTACAGAGGGTCAAATCTGCAGCACACCACACATTGTGGTACAATGCTATATGGGTCAAACGTACAACACACACTAGCCTAACTCATCTCCTTCCCTCTCTTATCACATATCTGTAATACATCCACTTTAATTGTAGCCAATTCAACATTTTACATTGAACATTCTGACATGACAAATGGTGTATTTGAGTAGAGAGCGAGTGGTGTTCAGTGAGTAATGATCAATGTTAATTAGCTGAGTATCAGTGGTGCTACAGTAGGAAATGGAATATGACAGCCATTTTACAGCACCCGCCACGCATTCATTATCACTGGGGATCACTGTATTCTATTTTATACTAAGGGTTACAAGACAGCTGCAGCCAACGCACGCATGCACGCACACACTTCATACACAAACATCCATCCACGCACAGCAGGTCTTTCTTGCTCTTTGTTCCTCTACAGTGGTCTCTCTCTTTCTCCCGCTCTCCCCCACTTACACTCTCTCTCCCCCTCTAAAAACGTGCTCTCTCTCAAACAGACAAACGGGAGAGTGCCTGGCAGTGTGAGGGGGTGGACGTGGACGGTTAGACGGACAGTAGTGGGGCATTACAGAGGAGTGTGTGTGTGACTCAGCAGGCCATAATGGGCTGGTACAGAAACACCAATTTATCTAGATCAGCCCGTCTACTCCACTACTCATTAAAGACATGCCTACTGTCAGGGTGCCAGCGTTCATAGGGAAAATACATTGGATTTGATTAGTGAAGTACAACACATGAAGTGAAATATCCTCCAGGTTTTCCAGACATCTGGATTATACTAGATGGTTTCCCGAGTGGCGCAGTGGTCTAAGGCACTGCATCTCAGTGCTTGAGGCGTCACTACATTTACATTTACATTTTAGTCATTTAGCAGACGCTCTTATCCAGAGCGACTTACAGTTAGTGAATACATTTTTTTTTTTTTTTTTTTTTATACTGGCCCCCGTGGGAAACGAACCCACAACCCTGGCGTTGCAAACGCCATGCTCTATCAACTGAGCTACATCCCTGCCGGCCATTCCCTCCCCTACCCTGGACGACGCTGGGCCAATTGTGCGCCGCCCATGAGTCTCCCGGTCGCGGCCGGCTGCGACAGAGCCTGGATTCAAACCAGGATCTAGTGGCACAGTTAGCACTGCGATGCAGTGCCTTAGACCACTGCGCCACTCATCCCTGCCGGCCATTCCCTCCCCTACCCTGGACGACGCTGGGCCAATTGTGCGCCGCCCATGAGTCTCCCGGTCGCGGCCGGCTGCGACAGAGCCTGGATTCAAACCAGGATCTAGTGGCACAGTTAGCACTGCGATGCAGTGCCTTAGACCACTGCGCTCACTACAGACCACCTGGTTCGATTCCAGGCTGTATCACAACCGGCCGTGATTGGGAGTCCCATAGGGCGGCGCACAATTGGCCCAGCGTCGTCCGGGTTTGGCCGGTGTAGACCGTCATTGTAAATAAGAATTTGTTCTTAACTGACTTGCCTAGTTAAATAAAGGTAAAATAAAACTAGTAGATGATACACTAGTTCTGAAACAGAACTGATCCCAGTTTCTTATACACTTAATCTCCTGTTAAACCAGGATTGCGATGCCTGGAAAAGTATTGCAAGAGCTAATTATTTACGGGCCTGTATATGTGCTTTCTTGAGCAGGGGGACCTTGCGGGCGCTGCAGGATTTCAGTCCTTCACGGCGTAGTGTGTTACCAATTGTTTTCTTGGTGACTATGGTCCCAGCTGCCTTGAGATCATTGACAAGATCCTCCCGTGTAGTTCTGGGCTGATTCCTCAACGCCAAAATTAGCATAATGCACATCTGCACGCACACACACCCACGTTAGATGACAGAAGGTTCAAGTGCAGAAAATCTCACTGCCAGCATTCACATATTTATACACACACACAGTGATGGGGTGCTGAGCTGGGCATTAGACTAAACCAGGGGTAGGCAACTACATTTTAGGCAACTACATTCAGCCGCGCAACGATTTTTGTTGGAGAGGCTGGATGGGGGGCCGGAACATAATTACAGTGGGGGAAAAAAGTATTTAGTCAGCCACCAATTGTGCAAGTTCTCCCACTTAAAAAGATGAGAGAGGCCTGTAATTTTCATCATAGGTACACGTCAACTATGACAGACAAATTGAGGAAAAGAAATCCAGAAAATCACATTGTAGGATTTTTTATGAATTTATTTGCAAATTATGGTGGAAAATAAGTATTTGGTCACCTACAAACAAGCAAGATTTCTGGCTCTCACAGACCTGTAACTTCTTCTTTAAGAGGCTCCTCTGTCCCCCACTCGTTACCTGTATTAATGGCACCTGATTGAACTTGTTATCAGTATAAAAGACACCTGTCCACAACCTCAAACAGTCACACTCCAAACTCCACTATGGCCAAGACCAAAGAGCTGTCAAAGGACACCAGAAACAAAATTGTAGACCTGCACCAGGCTGGGAAGACTGAATCTGCAATAGGTAAGCAGCTTGGTTTGAAGAAATCAACTGTGGGAGCAATTATTAGGAAATGGAAGACATACAAGACCACTGATAATCTCCCTCGATCTGGGGCTCCACGCAAGATCTCACCCCGTGGGGTCAAAATGATCACAAGAACGGTGAGCAAAAATCCCAGAACCACACGG